GGTAGACAAGATTCCATTGGCTGCCTGCATCAAGTACACTAAAACCATGACCATGGATACTTGCAAACTCATTGTAACCAATGCCAACGCCCCAAGAGCCAAGCTAGGCCTTGTGTTCATCAAATGTGATTGCAATAACCCCACCATTTTACAAATGAACTCGTTATAAGATGTATAATACTGCTTCTCCCACTCCATCCAATCCGCCGGAGGCTCATAGTTTCTCTCTATGATCTTCAAATCATGAATCCGTTTTCGTAACACGATCAGGCTTTCATTCACCAGTTGTCCACTGTAATTCCATTGCTGAGAGTCTCTTCCAGCTACAAAAACCATGCGGCCTCTACGCCTTTTATCGTCCCAGAGTAACATTTTCCGGGAATGCAGGAAAGAGGAAGAGGAGGAGCTTAGAGAAGTTGCTTCCATTGCTGAATTTGTGACGTTGAAGGACAGATGGGAAGATAAGAGTTCTGGCAATGCATTATACTATTTATATATAGCCTTGAATCTCCATAACGTTAAAGCTCAAATGCCGACGAGAGAGTGAACACATGACCTAGCACCTAGTTTCAGATAAAATATTGCTAGATTTATATCTAAGAAACTGTTTGTCGGCTTCAGGTTTATAGCCTCTAGATGGTTTGGCAATGAAGGTCGGCTAGAAACTATTAAAAAAAAAGCTTGATTTGTTTATCAATCTAGCCGTTGCAATAGTTTGCTACATCAATTATGTGTTCGTTTTGTAATCATCATGGCATTTGAAAATACAACTTGAACCATGTAGTACATTCATTTAATTGCATCAGAATCTAATTGGTCAAGCAATTATTTAGTCACTCCAATCACTAGATATTTATTTATTTCTTCTAAAATTATATTGAAGAAATTTATGAGACTCTTTTGGGGTTACCTGCTATAGCCTGTAATTCAGCTCAAGTAAAAGATCTTGCTACAATTTTCTACCTTTCAGAACACTAGGAGATTGGGTTTCCATTAGTGTGAGATAAATAAGCAATGGTGGTGGTTTTCACCATCTGGATCCCCTCCCAAATCAAAATCTAAGAAAGCTTTAAGTATTAAGATATCTGTTGTTTGCATCTTTCTTCAAAAACAGACCTTAAAACATATTTCATCTGGAATACCTTTAATTTGATTTTTCATTTTTTTAAAACCAAACCAACCAAATGTTCACTCCTACTTGAATGACCAATCAATCACTAATCCAGTCTTCTTCTCGCAAAGGGTTCCGTGGGATGCTGACGACTCCAGATTTCAGAGGCCAAAATGAACACAACCCCTAGAAAGATATAAATCAGAATTATGAACTCCCCATAAAAATATCCAACCAAAGTACTGGTAGTGGAGCATTGGCAAATAATACTAAGAATATGGATGAAAAATTTGCCCCAAGAGGGCTTAGGGAAACACTTTTAGGTAATTTCTGTTGGAACCATTAATGTTCCTATCCTACATGAAACTGTTAACACAGCATGTAACAGTTAACATAGACTCCTTATAAACAAATCTACTCAAGATTCAATGCTGGATCTTCGCTTAAATGATTTACAAGGCAAATGATTTCAAATAAAAAGTAAGAAAACGATGCATTATCATATTTTTTTTCTACAAAATTTGAATGAAATGTTCTTCCAATTGTTAACGTTCACAATGTTAATATATAAAAAAGAAGCCAACCTGGCATTAGTAATGGAAGATAGTCAACCATTAGTCATCATAGGAGGCGTGAGGAGCAGCAGTACATCCAGGATCAAAAGGATCTTCAGATCCACAACAATGCCAATATTGAAAAACTTTGCCGGACTCAGGAGTATTCATGGTGCCCCCAGTGTACACACTCTCAAATTTCCTCTTCGTTTCCCCTGATAATATGTAGTTAGAGGTAAGGAACAATTTGCAGTTGCTTCTAGAAAATCAGAATATTCTTAAAATCTGACCTTGAGAGATTGAGAAACTTTAAAAAGAAAAAAAGGACAATTTCAAAGTGATCCATCAAGCAAATTGGAGGCCCAAGACAGTTACAAATATTTCAAACATGCTTATATTCCATCTTTTGTGCACTAAAAAATTTCATAATCTCTAAGAATAGACGCAACTAGTTTAGGGAGCTGCAAAACTCTTATGTTTTAGACTGACCAACGCCAGAGGAGCAAGTTCATGAGAGTTGTGACTCAGTACAAATTGCCAAAGGGTAGAACTCTATCCCAATTATGTCTCCAAGGAACCCAATTGTGGTAAGATATTCACTAGGTTCTGCACTTATCATCACAAGTTATCTCTGTTATTCAACAATTAATTTAGCAAAATGGTCACAAGAATTTCACCAGTTTCATTTGGCTGGAACTTGTACTGTTTACATCCTTCATCATTTCAGTTATCTTGTTCCCTTCATCTCAAACACAGACGCCTAAAATCGTAGATGAAAAATCCATAACAATATTCAGCCAGCAGTACTGTTAGATTGGAATAGCGTAAAGTAGTTATCACAGAGAACAGCAACAGAGAAATAAGATCCACGTAAAGTAGCAAGCAGCAGCATTCACAAAATCCTACACAATCTGGCTACTTCGATGCTTAAAACTACACAACCTTAACAATTTTTCTCAACATCTGTCCATTAGAAGGAAAATAGTTACCCAAAGAAATAAAAATTTCCACTTTCTTCAACCTCACGTTGAGAGTAACACGTGCCAGAATATCTAATTCCTCATAATCAGCATTTCGAATTGCCTTTTTCATGCATACGCATCAGCCAGAGCAGAAACCTTTGATATCCATTTTACAAAATAACATCTCTTAGTAGATTAAACAATCGAGAAACCACTTCTCAAGTTCTTTCTCACTAACCACCACCAATATCACGGTTAACTTAGCCTGAGAAACTGTTTTCTCCTAATTAACTAAAGCATGTTTCAGCAATCAAAGCCAAAAAGTCATAGTTAGATTTCCAAATAGAGTCAGGTACACTAAACTCACCCGCCCCCGCCCCCCCCAAAAAAAAAGAAATCATAGCTAGTTGATTCTATGCATAGAAAGCTGTAATTTACACGTACAAGCTAAAGAACGTATGTAAAAAGGATACCTCCAAAATGGGCAGTGTGGAAACGGCAAGCCCGAGGGTGATTGAGCAAAGGGTCGAATTGAGTTTTGCAATTCTTGCATGTTTTCAGGTCTTTGCTGCTGGGTTTTGCTGTGCACAGGATCGGAGTTGGACCCAATTTGGAGCGCCTTTGGCTGGTGTTTATAGGACATGGGTACACAAGCAATTCCTGGTGAAAGATTGGTGGGTTTTTGTGAGTGTAAGCAGAAGGCAAAACAGAAATTGTTAGAGCCATCCGACAGCAATCCTCTTCTTGATCTTCAGGCTTGACTCTTGAGTCATGAGGGTTCGCCGTCTCCCGATTTGGGTTTTGATTTAACGTTTTCCGTTGAGAAAAAGAATAGCCGTAGATATTCGTTACGTGATATTGTTTTTTTATTAAAAAAAATTGTAATTAATGATACAACATTATTATATTAAATGACAGACATTTTTTAGAATAAAATTTATTAATGTTAATAATTGCTATAAGCATTTATTAATCGAATCTAATAAAAAATAGTTTTGTAAATATTTATTTCGAGTAAATTTGGTTTATAATCATTAATCTTTTATTTGGGTTTCGTTTTAGATTTTAACTTCTAAACCTCTTTTATTTTGTATAGTTCCAAAGCATTACTGTAAAATTCAAGTATACCTTTTCTAGTTTGGAAGAACATACTGAATTCAAGTCCACAACGCCAAAACTATTCAACATTTTACAGTAGGAAACTCTCAGCCAAGCTGTCAAACCCAAGTGAGTGTTGCATCCCTCGGATGAAAGCAAAAGGGATAATAGATAAACTAGCATGACCAGAGGGATGAAACAGGTTTCCCTTTCTGGCATGTCATGACATGTTCCAATACAATCTCCTTCACCTGCTTTTCCACATCTTCCAAGGGTTGGCAAGCATCTACAATCTGCGGTAGACACGGGAAACTTTCAGTAAGGGCAATGTCTTCATCCATTCCCATAACCAGACAAATAAAACTGAAGAACGAACTATTTTATCGACCGAGACAGTGGAGGGGTCTAAAATTCTAGGATACTACCATGATGAGTGACTTGATTACACAAGTGGATGGAGAATAATGACCATTATATACATGCAACAAACTAAGATAATATAGATCTTATCATCTAAGACCAAAAGTTTTAGCAATAAAATGAAAATTGCAGAAAAATGAATGGAGAAAACAATAAAAATCACCAAAAGGCAGCAATAAAATGGATGGAAGTTGTTAGATTGCGAAAAGTCTAAGTTTTCTACATGTGTACCGTCATTGAGCACTAGGTGTAATATTTTTCCTGGTGTCTCTGAAGCAAAACCAGAAATTTACTTTTAGAGCGACCACAAACAAAGTTTGCCTCAGAAGAAAGGTTTTAAACCACGCAATAAGTAGCAGTAGCATTCTTCACACCTAGATTACAGCCCCTCAAAGTCACAACCACGATGCAGGCCGTGCATCTTGGTATTGCTAAAAAGCATAAGATGAAACAAACTTTTACCTTCCAGGAAGAATCTTCAAGGAGCTTATAGCGTTGGGCAACTTTCCTCTGAAACTCAAGCTGCTCATATCTCTCACCTCCATAGCCTCCTCTTTCTGCAGCTTTCTGATAATATGAAACAATATTTTAGTTATATAGCTATGTTATAGTAAAGTGGCAAAACCAAAACAAGCACAAATTATGAAACTAAGCATGAAATTAAATGTTCATTACAATGTCAAAGTCTATGCTAACCAAATTGAACTAAATTGCATCTAATATTTTTTTTCCAGCAGAACAATATGCAATGCAAATCTCAGTTATTTTTTCTTTTTCCATTTTTGTTTAACTGATCTGCACAATTTGAAACTAGGATAACTGAATTCAAGTGCATTGGCTTATTAACACAAGCAGTCTGTCAATATAAAACTAACTGCATTGACTGCTTTCTAAACTTTTATTGAACTTTACCATGTCTATTTGCACCTGCCTATACAGTCATCCTCACACAGAGAAATTTGTCTTTAAATGACCCTTTGGTGTGAATTAAAGACAGAAATTTACAATGACATTTTATTTTTACACCATGAATTCCTTAGGCAAAATGCAATGAAAAATCCCTTTTTGCTTAAGTGGGAAAGATGGGAGTGCCCTAAATGCAGGTTGTCAGCTTAGATCTATTGAAATCAGCCTATTTTGAGGTGGCAGTGTGTGCCACAAACAAGACTCGCATAATTGAGCAGTGAAATATTCCTGGGCTTGAAAAAATGGCAAATCGGAAAGACAAGTCCCTTTCTTAAACAAACATTAGGGAGTGAGTAGGAGGGAACTATCAACACCATAATCATTAAGACCAAAAAATTCAAAGCAGAGTCAATTGTTTAATGTAACCAATCCACTTCACTAATTTTAACAAAACAAAATAAGTTGTGGGCACGACTAACCTCTGGTACTATGTCAAGGTATATTACCAGATCTGGAGCTATTAGCCCAATCTCTGGAGCCTGTAAGAAAGGACCTTATTTCATTATGATCATGCTAGAAAATTACTTAATACTTTTAGCAGTTAATCTTTTTTGGCAGCATGCACCTTACACCATTGAAAATCAAGTCCTTTAGCAGATGAGAAAGCAACCCCTGAATAAGAATAACGGTCTACAATAAGAGTGGTTCCAGCTTTCAGTTTGGCTTCCATCAATGATCTGCAAACAAAAGGCAGATTAACTACTTCATAATATACTGCAAACTACTATCAGAAGTGTGCTTATGCAGGTATCTGATTCATTTAATGCCATTCTAAAATGAATGAATGGAATATCCAAGAGGTCCATATGCAAAGCACATACCATGAATTAAACACAAGAATCACAGACAGACAAATACATTTGTCAAAACAGTTATGCTGTGCATCACGTTCATAGTATCTATCACTAAAATATCTCATGAGAATTTTCTAACTTCCTTAAAAGCAAACAAATTTTCATAATTTCATCTGATATATATTCACAGAACATCAGCTCATTCAGGCTATTTGATTCCAATAGTGTTCCTATACCAACTAATGCCAAGATGGCCCCAATTATCCTTGTTGCCATGCCACCACTCAAAACACGTGAACACAGTCAATGGATTTTTTGGTGAAGTTATTCATACTCACTCTCCAACTCAAAAAGTGCTTACTTTAAGCACAACATCAACTTAATTATGCTACAAATGCAGACTTTTGGTCCAAGATAGAGGAGTCTCACCATTCCAACCACGATGATACTTGACCATTTAATTTATTTGGATGTGAAATGAGTGCAAATGCCATATCCGAGAAACACACATATGGTGCGGAATGGCAGTATAGCTAAAAGAATTTTCCTTTCACAAATGATGGCTAAGAATATGAGTTATACTAAAAAGAAATTAGATCAGATGAAAAAAAACTTCAAAGATTACAAAACTTGTTGACAAATGCAGCATTGCAAATCTGAGAAAAAAAATGGAGCATTGGAGCAGTGTAGCTAACAGGATTTTCCTTTCACCAATAGGGCTGAAAAAAGTTCTAGTAAAAAGAGTAAAACTGAACACTAAAACACCTCAAAGACTGTGAAACTTGTAGAGAAATGAAGTCACCACATATCGAACCAAGAAATGATTATTTTGCTAGAAAACAATAACTAGAACAAATAGCACATGTAATTTCCTATGAGCAAACATTGTTGTAGGGCAGAATATAATGCAATGCGTAAGTGCCAAAACAAACCTCTTCTCCCACCGGTTTGCACTGAAAAGGAGATGGATAGTGTGGTCATCCAACTGTGAATTATTAGTAAGATATGCAGATATCATCTGCCCAACACTTGTAGTTCTGTCAGGGAATCGCCATAATTCAACTGAATGCCCCAGTCCCTCCAAATATGAAACCAGCCTCCCACATTGTGAAGTTTTCCCACTACGATCCAATCCTTCAAAAACTACCAAGGCACCTCTAGATTCATTGTCTGCACCCATCAGACTACTAGTATTACCATTTTCCATTATTCTAATTGACCTAACTGAACACTTGCAGGAAAAATTCAATCCCAAATTCAATGACCTCCTCACAGCAAAAGCCCCAAGATTTCTGGAATCCAACAACAACTAATGAGATAAAAGAATCTCAAACACAAGAAAGTTTCTGGTAATAGTTTAACAGGTGTCTTTACTTAGTGTTTCATTTGTGGAAAAGTGATAAAAGAAAAATTTTCAAGTTATGAGTTTTGCATTATTTGGTATCTGAGAAAATTAAACTTCCAACTCAAACACCCAAAAAAAAACTTGTGTGGACCAAAATGGAGCACAGGAACTAGAAAACATAATAGAAAAAGTACTTACAAAGCCTTAGAAACTGTAACAGAGCAGGCATGTGTCATGTCCCTATTAATGCTACAAACTGCAATTAAGATAAAAAAAAAAAACAAACAAATCCAAGAATTAAGCAACTGAATTTAAAAGTTTGAACTTTCAAAGTAAAAATACAAAGTGCAATATATGTTGTCCTTCTACTTCAGATTAAAGACGGTTCCACAATAAGTAAATAAGAAAGAACATATAAACAAACCCAAAAAAGAAAGAGCATGCTACATGCCATGCCTGAGGCAGAAACTAAGCTTCTTCTTTTTTTATCTTTTTGCAATTCTTTGTTCTTCTTTTAGTTCTGTATGTTTAATTCTCCTCCCCCTTCCTCCTCCCTGTCTTTCTCTCTCAAACTTACTGCTTTCCCTGATTTGCCATCCATCTTCCAAAAGCACCCTTATCTTTCAGCTTAATGACTTATTTTACAGGTCTCAGCAAAACTCAATCTGGAGAGAAATTACTGTATCCATCCTTTTTTAATACACTAAAATATTGAGTTAAGAAAAAAGTCAGATATTACGGACTGTGCTCCTAATACTGATTTATTTTGAAATTCAAACTCTGAACCCAAATCCACCTTTGTAGCTTAATCAAAATCAAAATAAAACAATGGAAAAAAATCCCAATATAGAGACTTGATCTCATTCTCAAAAAGAAATATAGAATAACATCATAACTCAATTAACAGCTTAAGAAGAATTTTACATGAAATTAAGGAACAAGCATTTATCAGGGATAATGAAAACCCAGAAAAAGAACCTGGAAGAGATTAAGTACCTGATAGGAAATGCAGCCATTAGAGCGAAAAAGGAGAGGTTTCCGAGGGAAAACTATGGCGACTTTATAAAATGCGGAACCCTGCCCGCGAAAGTTAATTTAACAACTTTTTAGTAATAAATCAAAAAGACCAAAATATCCTCTTGGAACCCAATTCTCTCTCTCTCGTCTTTCTCTCCTTGTCAAAAATTCTTCTAGGGTTTCAAAAATGGCAAACAACACCAATAAAGAAGAACCAAGCACTGCTCCAAAGCCTAATCGCTGGTACAATATAAGTTTAGGGTCTTCTTTCAAGGACCAACACCAGCCTTCACTCAAATTCTGCACTTTACGCTGTAAGTACTCACTATTCCACTTAATTTTTCTGGGTTCTGTTTGGTTTCCAAGAAAACACTATCTCCTACTAAGTTACCTCTTTCAGTTTTTCTGGGTTCTGTTTGCTTTCCAAGAAAATAAGGATTTGGAAACAAAATGCTTTCTCTTGAATGTGTATGTCAGGGTGATTTTTTATTTAATTTGATCTCTTAGCATATTAAACTATTGAGAAGAAAAAAGTAGGAATTCCTCAATCGAATATCCAAAATAACAATATTATTCAAGTTTAATTTTGAAACAAACGAAAAGAAAGAAAGAAGAGTTGAATCGAAGAGATTGTTACAGTTTAGATTGTAAGGAAATACGAGTGAAAAATGGCTGGAAGGTTTTTAAGCAAAAGAGATAGAGAGTAAAGGTTGGAAAGGAAGTTAAAAATACTTTTAGCTACGAAGTAGTACACTTTTAGTTGCCTTTTTTTATCTATAATGCTTGATTAGCAATCTAGTGGAGGGGTTTGCTATAAATTAATCTGAATTCGATTGATATATTCATTTCTATCAGTGCCTTAAATATTAGAACGTGAAGAATTTTAAGTTTTAGATATTTTGTTTGTACTGGTCCAGATGAATTTAAACCAGCATCAATTGATAAGAACCAACCAGGATTATTCCACAAGGCTAAGGATAACCGGGTTAAGGTAGAATTTGAAAACAACCAACATGGAAAACCCAAGGTGACGTTTGAGGGTGTCAGTGAAGATTACAAGGACAATGATGCGGTGTTATTCTTTGATGGCGAGACTTTTCGAATGGAGCAGTTACACCGAGCAGTGAAGCGTTTGAGGCATGTACGGCAGCCTGGTGAGTCCACAGCTGCAGCTACCACAGCCATGGCTCCTGCAGTCGGCCCTTCTGCAGATTCTTATTCACCTCCACTTGCTAAAGGAGCAAAGCATGAGTCTTTGAACAAAGGCCCAGTTCAGCCATTGTTAGTAAGTTTACTTGACTCTTGGAATCTTTTGCATCTTTTTCTATAAGAAAAACCAAGGACCACTTTTGATTTATGATTATTGTTGAAACTTTCATATTTTGAAAGCATGTTATAGAACTGCTGTTTTATTTGAAGAAATTAGACATTACTGTCGTTAATAAGATCTACAATTATATTAATTTTTCTTTTTGTCATGTTTCTATGTGATTGTACAGCTTCAGGTGGAACACATTGACACTGGTGACTTTGAGAGTGGAGGTAAGTTTAACTTTGTTTACTATATGCTAATATAGTTAAGTTAGGACTTTATCATCATGATTTTACTGGTTTATTTGAATTTGACTTTGAACTTGAAATTAAAGACAATTATCTTTGCTTCATTAGTCAGAATCCAGTTGGCTAAGCTGTTGTTGATACTTTAACCACTTTGTCTTATGAGAAATTGTTCTCTTGAATCAATTTGCGTACTATGGAAAACTCATTCTTCTAAGTCCCTATTGCAGAATCTAGAAAGGAGAACAATGTGCAGTACCCATCTTCACTTCCTAATCAACCAACCGCATCACCTGACCCCAAAAATTATGAATCAGAAGAACAGGTGGATATAGTCAATGATGACGATGATAATGATGGTTTAGGGACAGCTAAGCACGAAAATGCCTCTGAAAAGGTTCCGTATGCTGGTATTGGTATTGATATTAACTTACCACATCATGGTGACACGGATGATGAGATTGCTGATGTAGATGTAAGTGATGATGAAGAACATAAAGTGGGACGTAATGCAGCAGAAGCTCTTAGAGCTCAGGTGAATGCGGAAGGGAAAGAAGAACAGACTTCAAGCTCAAGCAGTAGCAGTGGAAGTGAGAGTAGCGGGAGTGGGAGTGGAAGTGGGAGCGGGAGTGGGAGCAGTAGTAGTGATAGTGAAAGCAGTGATGGTGACTCGGTCATCTCTATTTAAGTGATAACAATCATGCAGATTTACTTTGAGACTTACAGCAACAGCCTAGTAGTCATTTTGAATGGCCTAAATGGTTGGAAAACTGAGGTTTAAAATTTGTTGTCAAAAATTGCATGGGAAAGTGTTTGAGATTTTTGAGTGTTTAGCATTGCTGTGAAAATTTGTTGTAATGAATTAAAATGTTCCCAAAGACATTAATGAAATAATGAGAAGCTGAGTTGTACAGTGATACACTAGTAATTTTGTGAGAACTTGGTTTAAAACCAGCTTTAGTAATTCAAAGCCAAAATTCTTAGCTTGTTTGGCATTGAGGTGGTGTTGTTGAAAAGCTGCTTTTAGCCCAAAAGCAGGTTCCCCGTCGATGCCAAACAGGGCTTAAGGAGCTAATCTTAGGAGCAACATGCAGATCTTCGCCGGCAGTGTTTAGTCTTTTGCATTAACTTCTGTACATGTCAAGCATCCTTCGCTGTTTGGTGTAGTTAATGTAACTCAATTCTTACCTCTTAGACTTCTTTTGTGAAATGGTCAAGCATCATTGTTGTAAAATATGATGACAGGAAATATAAATCAAGTTGTTGGACATAGTTTAAAAAATAAAGCTACCCAATTATCCTTTGTGTTTAAATTTTTGCTCTGGGCAAGTTCATTCAATCACCAACTCTTGCCTTTTTTTGCTACAGCTAAAATTATCAATATACAGAAACGAATATACAGGTTGTTGTAATGATACTTGCAGCATACCCTTGATAAACACCAAATAAAAAGAATAAGAAATTTTAAAGGGAAAAATATTCTATACCGTGCCTCAAGTTTCTAAGCAGACAAGGATTTTTGTTATGATAAATCTATGCAAGATATGGTTATTTGTTGCAAACAGTTTTTATTAGCAAAATAGAACAGTGGTCTGAGATTTTGAGGATTCTGTATGAATTCTTTCTTTTCCAACTCCATTGGTAGATTCAATGATGTTGATGGTTATAGCTGTTTCAAACTCAAATCCTATAACATTACACAAAAGGAGTATTTCATCATTAAGCATCTGAAGAGAGATGATCTCAATGGTCACATTATGCTAATGCTACAATCATGTCCGTATGCAAACATAATCTGATGTCTTTGATGTTTACTAAATTTAAGGCACTGACACTGTAAACCAAAGCTATTAAGCAGATAGCAAGCAGATTTAGAGACACATTGAGGTCAAAAATAAATATGAATAAATTTGTGTTACCTTTGAGTTTTGAAAAATTTGTTACAATCTTACATTGTCAAAAGCATACTGTAAGAAACGAACACAGGATGACCTATAGGCACACAAACTAGTTGAGATATCTCTCAGATATCATAACGGAGCAGGCTCACTCTTTTCCTGCTCCGAGTCTCTTCCGCCATCACTTCCTTGACCTCCAGCATTTCCATTCTGTAAAATTTTATGTTCTGTAGGCAAATTCTTCTTGGCTTTCTTGCTCCCTTCAACTTTCCACAAATCCCATACTCGGGTTTTTGGTGGTGCAGTTGTATCTGCAATTGGTGCAACTAACCCTGGCTTGCCTTCATCTATAACTCCATCTACTAACCCATATTCCTTAGCTTCCCAAGGATTCATGAAATTATCCCGGTCTGTATCTATTTCAAGCTGCAAAATCAGCAATGGTCAAGATAATAAAATTTGATAAGGAAATAGGATGAAGTGCAAGAAAATAGAAGAATGTTGGAAGGTATATCAATGAATGCCCAACCTGTTGTTCAGGCTTTCCTGTAACTCTTGATAAAATCTTGTTCAGCTTAACCTTGTGGTACACCATTTCTCTTATTCGTATGCTCATCTCTGTTGCCTGGAATCAGATGCAACAGTCTAGTGTGACTAAAAGGAACCACCAGAAATTAACTAGCTACAGATCATCATACCGTTCTAAATCAACATTCATCTTCTAATGTGCCAGACAAATTACTAGCTGGGTTCAAGTTAGACTTGTTCTATTGAGTAGAATTTTTCAACCGAGCTCCAGCTTTTGCCATTTAAAACTACATTTTTCCAATGGCTAATGTAATTACATCTTGCAAGAAAGTTACTCCTGAACAATAAATAAAGTTGCATCCAAATAATTTGCCAACACATTAAGGAAAGCAATCTACATTTAGCATTCTCCTTCAGCATATTTGCATGTAAATCAAACAAAAGAAAAAGTTGCTTTCAAATAATTGGTATGCACACATTAACAAATATCCACCTACATTAATATATGTCAGCAACACACACCAACGAATCACCTTTTCCAATCATCATATATCATTCCTCTTTGCCATATTAGCATGTAAATTAAACAACACAGAATTAGCAGAAAAGATCCATATTGACAAAATGTGAAAGCACTCAAATTGGCAGTAGAAGCTCGATCAATGCTATCAAAAACAATGCAATCAAATCTCTAATAGATTTAAGCAACAGCCCTTTTCCTTCCATTTTCACCTCTCTCCCCTTCACGTATTAATATGTTCTCCGTAAGCAAAGTGAATAAGAATTCAGATCTGAACCACATTTCAATATCCACACTAATGATGATTCAAATTTTAGTCTCGATAATAGAAGATCAACCAAAGAAAATTTGCAGGTCCAAATCAGAATACAAGCATGTCAAGTTTCATATGAAAACAAACAATAATTACAACAAATTTTCCGGTTGAAATCTGAAGACAAGCATGTCATATTTATTAATGAAAACAAACAAAAAAAGTAAACAGAGCCAAAGGGCCCCTGAAATGAAGATGTATAATTCTTATCAATGTTCACAAAATTAAGCAGAGGATCATGTACTTACTTTCCCCCCAGCAGTTCCAAGTGGCTGATGAATCATCACTCTTGAATTGGGCATGCAAAGCCTCTTTCCTTTCGTACCAGAAGCAAGGAGAAATGCACCCATTGATGCAGCAAGCCCTAGGCAGATAGTTGAAACATCTGCTTTGCACAACTTCATAGCATCATATATTCCCATTCCTGCATGCATCAATCAATGAGGGAAGGTTGACACAATCAGACGGGAGACCACAAGCTGCTTAAGATATACTCAACTCACACAAACATCTTAAATATTTGCACCATCTACGTGAATCCTTTATTGCAGCTGATTAAGTAATTCTAGCACCTTTATTTTCTTGGACTACTATATTCTAACCATAAAGTTGCAAATTTAAAGAGGTCACCTCCCAGATTGTTTTGCATTTTGCATTCACAGCTAACTAACACAAACCCAATTCTCACAACTTGGAACTGATAAAGCTCCATAGAATTATATACCACAGCATTTTTTTTTTTTTGGCTTTTGAGTAAACTATAACAACTAAAACAAAGTTCCTAAATGCTACACAAAAAGATCCATGCAGCTGAGTGCATAATAACATTACAAAAACTTAACATGAATGCAACGCCACCACACTTCCAGTTCATGAAACTCTTTTTTACCTTTTCAATTCCATATGAAACAACCAGAAATAGATTCTGCTGCATTGCCCCTCCAACATTTCAGCTAGTTCTACAAGCCATTAAGGTACTTATGATTCACTAAATCAGATGCCAATAGGCATATAATGACAATTACCCAATTGATGAAATTTTCAATTTAACAAAACATCTATATAATATGAAGGAGAGGAAATGAAGCTCAAATTTTGCAAATGCTCTTTGTAAACTGTGTCTATGGTTATCCACTAAAAATATCAGCTAAGTTCCATGAGAACCATTTTTAAAATTTTTTATTCATCCATCACTTGAACCATTAATAGTGCATGAAAGAAAGAAAAAATAGGGGTAAACAAATAGCAAGGGAAATTTTGCTCATTGGAAAACCTAAGGATCATTTAAATGAGCTCAACCCAATATTTAAACTCGGTTTTTAAATAAAAATCAGGAAGTAACGTTTCTTATGCTACACTTGATTCCTTTAGACATTTTCTTTTTCAACTAATACCTTTCAGGACCATTTACAACTCATAAGACTACCCTGAAGCTAATCAAGCTAGGAATTTTAGGAGCTTGCCTTGTTGTATATTATGAAGAATATTCTAACAACCTACACCCAAAATATTTAGAAGCGTTTTGTTCAATTCAAAAGCTTACTCTGATGCTTCTGAATAAGGCAAGACTAAGGAGGGAAGCAGGGATTCAAGCATATGGAAGAAATCCAATAGACATACCAGCAGTCACAGAGCCACCAGGGGAATTGATGAATAATTTAATGTCTTTCTCAGAGTCTTCAGCATCCAGAAGTAACAGCTGACTAATGATCAAATCTGCTGTCATGTCATCCACCTGCTCAACATGAAAGAAAGAACAAATGGATTCAAACCTCAGAAATTTCAAAACTCAACCAAAACAATCATCAAGACCTTCAATGCAAAACTATAAAACAGAAAAATCCTCTAAACTTACAAGCAAAACTTATCTCAGAAATTCAACCTTTAACCTACAGTAATGCTGAAAAGAAGTAAACCCACTTCCTATATCTTCCATAAAAGAATACTACGCAAATAGACACTAATAAACAAACCACTTTCCAAATTGAATTATAAAGGTAAGAAGCAAGTAATTCTACAACACAAAAAGAGAGTGAAACAGAAGAACCCGAGAAGACAAACACGATTGACAATCCTAATCCTTTAAAACCAAAAACCAACCTTTCCAATTGAAATATAAAGCTAAAAACAAAATCAAGTACTTGTAAGAAAACAAAAGAAACTCAATTTCCAAATTAAATTAACAACGGAATAGAAAACAAGAGAGAGAGAGAGTAAAACCTGAGAACCCAAAAAGATAATCCTTTGACGAAGAAGCATGTTGGTAGTATCAAACTCTTCAAATCTAGGAAACGAAGCTGGAGCTGAAGCTGACGTAAGAGCAGATAAATCAGAGACATCCCAGTTGCTGGATAAAGTTGCTGTTTTCCGATATGAACTCTTCAAAGCCTTAACACATATGGTTTTTTCTCTTCTTTTAGTTGGAAACAGAAACTGTTTGTTAACAAGAGATGGAGGTGGTTTGACTATGTGGGTTAAACTCATCTCCATGTTTTTTTAAGAATGTTGGGATTTTTTTTCTTTGTTTTTGTTTGTGGCTTCTGTCTGTCGTTTGTTTCGCTGCAAAAGTAGTCGAAAAGGAAGAGAAGCAATAACGGGCTGGGATAATTGGGGAGTTGTGGAGGATGCTTAGGATATTAAAAGCGGTGTCGTTTTGAGTTTGGTAAACTGCCTATTTAGTATTTAGTATAGTTGGATTGTTTTTCTTGACAATAAATAATAGAATTGTTTTTTGGGCTTTTTTTTAAAAATAAAAAAGGATTCAGCTTACAGATTCTACCAATTATCTTTGGATTAAATATAGTACCAAATTAAAAATTAGGTCTAACATTTTTGGATACAAGCAATAAAAGTTGTAAACTTTCTTTATTGAAAAAAAAAATCCTATTGTACTACTATTTGTTGCAAATGAAAAAAAGCATTTTTGGTGACGTAGAGATGACCCTAATATTCTCCAAGGACAAATTGTGAAGGTCTACTCCCTCTATCTAACTTAAATTTTTGACTCATATTTTTAATTTAAAAAACATATCTGATAGGTAAAAAAATATCTTTATTTAAAGATTTGAGATCCATGACATTTTACTTCACTCAATTATATAATACCTTTGTATAAAGGAGAAGGACCATATTGTACTTCCATCTTAATATTTTTCATAGGGTTATACATAAGTGACGATCTAAATTTGTTTTAATATTACTTGTAACATATCCACTTTTCTAACTTAAAAACATATATGATAAACGAAGGAATCGAGATCGCTCCATCTTTTATTGATGCGGAATTAATGACATATGCACCAAGGAGGATGGGGCGCATTGACAGGGTCGATAAGGCACATCTCCTTGTTTGATTAAGTAGCTATTAAATTGGCCTTTCATTGAATACGGCTCGATTTCACACTTTTAAACTTTTTAAACCATGTCTTAATATCTATCACCAAGGGTGGGGTTTCCAATTTGAGTAAGTTCATCTTCTATTCAAATTCTTGTGCAGCACTTCAAAGTTTATTTATAATGTAATCTTCTGAAAGTTGGCCTCCTCAGCTAACTTAAGCCCATCTCTCATTGCCATTACATTAGCTTCTATGCTTGAGTTGGCAATTACTTGTTTCCAAGCCCCACATAAAACTAGTTTCTTATTATCTCTAATGAGTATTCCAACTATAGCCCTATAGGGATTATCACTAAAGGCTCTGTTAATCTTAACTTCAACCCTTAGGTATTCCTTCTCTATCTTCAAATATGGGCTCATGACAAGTGTTATCAAAATAGATCCAAATTTGTGTTGGCGTCTATTTATCGTGCATAACTACCAAACTTTTAAATGATTTTTTTGTACTAAGAAGTATTGAAAGGTTAGAGTTTGATGTTTCTGTGTGTCTTTTTGAACTGTTTCCATTAGTCATATCTATTGGTCATTGTAGCTGTGTGCGACATGAAAAATTTTGAGAATCACTACTAATCTTTTTTATCTAGGTACGATTGGTCACTTATTAGATTTGTTCTATTTGAGGAAGTTCAAAACTGGTTTTATGTTCATCTAAATAACAAAAACTTAGTTTACAAATTTTAAAGTTAAGTTGAGGTCTACGGTTACACATGAAGAAGGATAAGCATCCCATGATACCCATTCCATAAATAGTATCATTTTATTATACGTTTCCTGTTTCAACTTTAATTTTTTCCTTTATTCTTATATTTCCTTAATCACTGTTCATTATTTTATTCTTGATTTTATATATCTTATTTTTTTTATCCTTTTTTGTTTCTAATTGATTTTTTATTATTTATGTTATTTATTATTATTATTATTATCAATACAGGAATGAAATATTTATCTCAGAGAAATGTTCTAAGACTATCCAACTCTTTGATGAAGTTTAAGAATTCTTTTCACTTAGAGAATTTTCGAGAAAACTCGTTTCTACAAGTTCCCTAAGAAAATTCCATCGTTGGAGATTGTTACTCACAAACCAAATTTCTTGTTAATGCACATGATGCAATAATGAAATAATGACATATTTTCTAATTTTAAAATAGTGAGAAGCAAAAACCTTGCATAAAAAAAAAAGAATCATTTGTAAACTATCTAACGCTTTAATAAAGTTTAGAAGTTTTTTCTCATTTAGGGAAGTTCTCGAGATAACTCGTATCTACAAGCTTCTCGTGAAAATCCCATTATCGGGGTTTCACACCTATGGGCAAAATAATCAAGTCACATGCAATGCCAAAAATCATGAATGATGCTAAATGAAATTAATTTCAAAAATCTCTTATTTAGAAAAATTACTTAAATTATTTGTTGATTACTATATTAATTTTAATAAAATATTTAATGGATTAATTCATTTAAATTATTATTCCTATTAGAATAATTATTTAAATTAACGGATTATTGGAATATAAAACTAAGATTTATGCCGACGCTGCAATGAACTCTAAGCAAATTCCGCACTTAAAAAAATCTTCCCAAAAATGCGACATTTCGCCTTCTCAAGTGAAATTACATCATCGAATTAACTTAAAATAACCATTTTGTTTCTATGTTCATTATTAATTCTTTTATTTTATCCTATCTTCTTTCCCACTCTTTTTTCTCTCTTTTTTATTTTATTTTATGTATACTTGCTTATATTTTATGTAACTAACTATTTTATTTCTATTTTATATACATATATTTTTACATCCACCTATGTATATTTCATATAGCTAAATATTCTTTTCTTATTTTTATTATTATTTTCATTCTTTCACCTATATATAGATTATATAACTAAATATATTTTCTATTTTTTTATATCTACCCAAGAATTTTTTTTAACCAAATATCCTATTTTTTTGATTTTATATTTATGTCTACTTATGTGTATCTTATGTAACTAAATATTTTTATCTTGTTATATTATATTTTCATTTTTTTGTTACGTTTTTCATAATTTATTGCTTATATCTCCATAGCATCTATAATATAAAAATAAGTATTTTTTTGGATTTTATCTTATCATATTTTTGTCAAACATATACCTTTATTTTTATATTTTTTTCCAAAAATGTATTAACCCAAATAACATGCAAACAAAAGCCTTAATAATTTTAGCAACTAAAACCCAAAGCCATAACCTAATAATCTCAACAAATAAAGCCTGATTGGCAAGCCACAAAGAAGAGAAGAGACCATACCTTCACTTTCAGCTCCAAACGATGTTTCAAATGTTGATGAGCTGCTTGATAGTTTCTACAAAACGACACCGTTTCATTCCCTTTCTTTTCGTCAACACCCTAACCATAAAAAGGCTATATTTTTTTCCTTAAATTTTCACTTCTTTTGTGGCGCTAGTCGCATACTTAACCCTCTTTCTCCAAAACAAAGGCTTCTACTGCTTTTCAACTTCTTCCACCAGCTGCTAGTGCTTCTTTTTTTTTTTTAATTTTTCTGTATATATTTTACTCGTGGTTTTTTAAGGCTAGTAAATTATAGGATCTAGGGTTTCTAAATTTTTGCTATCATATTTTTTACGGTGATCAATTGTTAGAAAAATTATCATTTTATATGGTGTAGTATGAAATTGACATGTTAATATATTATAATTAATAATAATATAATATGTTAATTTTATATAATAAAATAATGATGGGATATTTTTTACTTTGTATATTAATTTTGTATTAGTATTATGTGAATTGTCAAATAATTAATTATAAAATTTATTTGATTATAAATAAAAATATAAATATTTAATTAAATATAATAAAAAAAGATATATTTGAATTTTTTTATAGTTTAAAAGCTTATTTAAGTATTATGTTAAAAATTAATTTGCATATAAAAAAAAATTTAAATAGTTAATAATCAAGTTATCTTAAAATTTTTCTTATGAAAAAGTAGTGTTATTTTAATATTGAAAAAAATTCTTAAATAATGTAACATCAATAAATTGTAATGAGCTATTTTACATAAAAGTTATGTATAAACTATACTTGTAAGAATTACTAAAAAATTAATCAATTATTTTTTTGAAGAGATAAATTAAAAAATTGTCAAATAAATATATGATTTTCATCTAAATAGACTTGCAAAGTTTAAGAACTTCAAAATTAATAGTAATATACATTCAAATTGAAATTCCAACCAACTTACATTAAATTTATATACTATTTAAAATTTTTGTTTTACACGAAAGAAAAAGGAAAAAATGAGAAGACAAATAAACTTAAGATGATAAAAAAAGAAAGTATAGGGAGGAGAAATGAAAAAAGGAGAATGGCAAAGTTCTCTGTAGGGATCGAAGAAGATGGTGAAGGGCCAAGCAACCGAGTCCCTAAGCGTCAAAGGGTCGTTCTCGTTTCCGATTTAGTCTGCCCTGTTCAGGAAGACGCAGAGCAAGAGGAAGAAAGAGAAGAAGAAGAAGAAGACGAAGGGGAAGAGGAAGAAGAGGAGGAGGAAGAAGAAGAAGACGAATACTACGACGAAGAAGAGGAAAGTGGGGCTGAGCAAGGAGCCATGAGCCTTGAGACTAATAGAGATGGGTCTATTTCTATTACCCTAACTGACCCTGAAGTTCTTGATTGCTCTATCTGCTATGACGCCTTGACGATTCCAGTTTTTCAGGTTCCATTTTTTTTTTTTTGCATTCGTTTTCGGCTAATGGCTTTGGATTCTGATTTGGGTTGTTGATTATGGATATGGTTTTTTTGTTTGTTAGGTGAAAAGCTTTGAAATTTAGGTTCTTTTGTTGATTTTATTGGTGAAAGGATTTGGATTTTGATTTGGTTTTGTGATTTGGATATGAGTTTTCAGTTTTTGGTGAAAATATTATTTTCGATAAGTGAATCGCTTAGAATTTTGATTTGGTTTTTGTTGTTGTCTTTTTTTTTTTTTTAAAAAAAAACACATTTTGCACCTGTGTTTTTGTTTGCTGGTGAAAAGCTTCCCAATTTTGTTTAATTTCTTGATTTTTGCACATGGATTTTTGTTTTTTGGGGAAAGGTTTTCAAATTTTATTATATTTGTTGATTTCTTAATTGTCAATTTGGGTTGTTATTCAACTTGTCTTTTCTTTACAGTTATATCTCTGAAGGTTGTGTACTTAGTGTGATCTATGTTTATGCGATGAATCCATTAAGACTAGTTATTGCTGAAAAGCTTTGAATTTTGATTTGTGCTTATTGTTGGAGAAACCAGCTTAGATTGTTGGACTTCTGGGGTGATTAGTTAGTACGACTTATTGATTTGATACTTTTGGGAAGAAGTTAAGTTTCTTAATTTAGCCAATGCGCTTAGATTGTATAAATTGGTACTAGAATTTAGAGTTTACGGTCTGTTCTTATTTATAGACTGCTGTAAGGAAGTATCTGGATGTTGAAGAAGCATGCAGTGACTATTAGCTTCTGTGGTGGAGGATGAGTTTTAAGTTGATAGATGTAATGATGAGAATGATGTGGAATATGTGGACTTCTTGTTCCCCATATGAATTTGTAAGGTGAGATTATGAAATGATTAATTGCAAGTCAAATCTAGTTGCTGTTTTGAGATTCATCATCTATACAGATAACACATTATAGTGTTTTTGGATGATGCTAGATTAGCAGGTCCAGATTTTTTAAGATATTAATATAAGCCTCAGTATAGGGAATTTCATAAATAGTTGTATGTCTTTAGCAATAAAGTGTTCTTTGAACATAGATTTTCCTTTTTCCGATTTCTTTAATCGTGCAGCAATCATCTTGTGTTAGATGGGGCTTATTAGGACTGCTAAGAGATAATACTTCATAAGCCTCTACGTGGTACCTACTGAAAAGAGAAATATGAAGATCCATAAGGATAAAGGTTATTTGCAATTCCAAGTCAACTTGGAATTTTAGCTCCCTGATGTTCGGAAGGTTACTTGGAAACCTTTTTCTAACAATGATGACTTGCAAAGTTAAAACCAATTGTCAGATCTTAGTTTTATGTTTGAGAAGGGTTAGATTTTCAAGTTTCTAGAAAGAGGCAAGTATAAGCAAGAATGGAAGAATAGGTATTCTTATCTATTCTTAACCATGTAACTGTCACATGCTGGCTCCTGCAAAAGTGTTTTTAGAAGCATTTCTCATACTTTGACATGCACTAGAAAGAGAGAGGGTGAGGCATCTGGGTTCTAACTGTTAAGATGATGGTCGTACTTGGACATATATGTATAGACTTAAAAAAACTCCTTAATATGTCACCATGATATATTTATGCCAGATTAAAAGAAACTCTTTAATACATCACCACGATATATTTACGCCATATTAGTCTGGAATTTATGAGGATGAAGAAAAATAAGGACTTTTAAATGTTTAATAATTGGCTCTTCATGTAAATCTATTGATGGTGAATCTTTGAATTTTGTGGTGGCTGTAATTTTATAAGTTTGTCATAGTGTAAATGTTCATTTTTCCTTTTGAACTTGAGGGTGTTTTGGTGGATGGTGTGGGCTGTGTGTCCTGTCAAGCATATCATTCATGGCATGCATGAAGCTGATGGAGTCTGATAAGTTTTCATATTTTTGCAAGTATATTATTCATTTTTTCTATATATATCTAATGCAGCCTGATAATATTTGTTTGCTTGATTGGCAATTCAGTGTGAGAATGGGCATATAGCTTGCTCGATCTGTTGTGTCAAAATTAGGAATAAATGTCCATCCTGCGCTACCCCTATTGGTTATAGTCGCTGCAGGGCCATTGAGAAGGTTCTGGAATCAGTCAAAGTGTCATGCCAAAACACAAAGTATGGATGCAGAGAAGCATTCAGGTATAGTATAAAGCAGAAACATGAGAAGATGTGTCCTTATGCACCATGTTCATGCCCCCTTGCTGATTGCAACTTTGAGGGTTCATCAAAAGAGTTATATGAACACTTCAGGGATAAACACAAGTATTCTGCAACACGTTTTCAGTATGATCGCACAATACCCATTACCTTAGGAATTGATGAAAAGTTCTGTATTCTTCAAGAGGAGCAAGACGGCTCTTTATTTATTCTCAACAATAAGGTTGAAACTTTGGGAAATGTAGTCACTTTGAGTCGAATTGGGCCCTTGGAAGAGAGAGGTTTCTTCTATGATCTTGTGGCGAAAGCTCTGACAGAGGCAAGTACTGTTAGATTACAATCCTTCACGAAGAGCACTCCAAAACAGGTCGATAACCCACCTTCATTGGGGTTTCTCCTGGTTCCGAGTCAGTTCTCCTGCAATTCTAGGAAGCTCAAGATGGATCTCTGTCTGCGGCGTCACGGTGAATTTCCCTTTATCTTCCAAAGACCCTGTGGTGTATAAGTCATGTAAATTTTGGTGCAGAAACTGATGACTGGAATATATATATATATATATATATATATATATATATATATTGTATCAGGCTTTGATACGCTTTCTACTATAATTTTTGAAACCCTCTGAAATTATTTTATGTGACCAACTTGGTGCTCTCTAACCCCGATAGCTATGTGGATATGTTACACCTTCGAAACCAATGCAAGTCATGGCTTGTGAAAGGTTCATGTAAGCCTTTACTGTTGGAAAATGGTCCAGTAACTGAGTTTACTCAGTGGGAGGAGGTTATAACCATTCGTAATGTGCTGTAAATTAGACTAGACATTGGTGTAGAAGAAGAGGCCATCTTGAAAGTGATTCCTTGATTCTGGACGGTCTGGTTTATTTCTATCGGTGCTTGGGTCTTTGAAAGATGAAGGTTCATGTGCAAAGACACAATCATATTGTGTAGTAAGTGTGGGGGATATTAACGAGGGGAAATGGAAACTTAGCCAATTGGAATAAAAGTGCCAAAATAAGTGCTCCTTACATATGTTATTTGCAAAACATCTTTTCATTTATTTATGGAGGAATGCCCTGTATTTATGCTGGCTGAAAAAGTTTTTCAGTAATGACATTTGACTGTCTTGATTCTAGAGAGAAGTTCAGACTTCTTAAAAATCTAATCGTTGTAACATATTTGTGTAAAGATAGCACAAATTGTGCTTCACAATTAAGTACAAATTAAAGAATATTAGCTGGAGGACAACCAACTTACTAAAACCCTAAAAATCTGGAGATTTTTGGGATATTGAAAGATTGGGGAAAATATGGAGGATTAGGGAGATTTGGAGCCCTTTTTAGTCATGTGTCTTTTCCCCCATTTTTACTCCAAAAATTTCCCCAGTCAATATATATAAATATACAAAATTATTGCACTGCTTTTAAGATGAATGATTTTAAGTTTAGTAACCGCCCCATTTTAATCCTTTTTGATCAGTTAAAAATTTCCCAATCAAATCAAATAAATTCTAAATATGATTCTACACTGGTTTTAAGAGCTGATGATTTAAGTTTAGTAACTGCCAGCCCTGAGCTCCTTAATGTTTGATATCATATATCTTTTCAAATTTTGCATAGCCAAACCCAAACTGAAATTTGTGATTATCCTTCCTTGTAACACTTTAAGCAAAGTAAATGAGTAATAGTTATAAATATATAAATAAAACATGCATGGTAGAATTCCATTACAATCTCTTTTAGCTTTCCATTCTTCATAAAACTTGCCTCAGTTGTTGCTTCTTTACTCCTTTTACTAGTATATTCCTTACACATTTATGGCCCAAAATAGTGGTGGCAGCAGTGGCTGTGGCGGAGGCAGTGCTAATAAAAAAGTTGAGGAGCCACAAGCTCACCCTGTGAAAGAGCAGCTACCCGGAATTCAATATTGCATAAACAGTCCACCTCCTTGGCGTTTGTACACTAATCCCATACATACTGTTGTTTATAGATTCTATTCTTTTCCATTCTTTTGTTATGCATTAGGAGTCAATTCTGTTTTCATTTAAATGTAGTTTGAACATTTTACTAATTTATTTCATCTTGCTTCTTCACTTTTTAATGGTGTCATTGTCTTTTCGTTCTGGTTTGTAATATAAGATATGCATGGTTTATATTTCAATATTTAGTTAAACTGTGAAAGATTTTTTAACCAGTCTGATGGTACTAAATTGATCACATTGCAGCTGAAGCACTTGTATTGGGCTTCCAACATTATCTATTGACTCTTGGCATCACTGTTTTGATTCCAAGCATGATCGTTCCTCAAATGGGTGGTGGAAATGTAAGGATTTAACTTGATCTTTATCATGATCATTCTTCTGTTTTCTTGACATATTATCCTCTATATAGTAACTAAGCTTAGTCTTTTTCTCTTGCGTCGATTCAGGCTGAGAAGGCTACAGTGATTCAGACCTTACTCTTCGTTTCCGGAATAAGCACACTTCTTCAATCATTCTTTGGCACCCGACTGCCTACCATGGTAGTTGGTTCTTATGCATATTTAATCCCCGTGACTTCTATTATCCAAGCAACAAGATACGAGTCCTACTCAGATCCTTATGAGGTTGATTGCATGTTTTATACTTGAAATAATTCTTTTAGATTGTATCATTTTTCACTTTCATTTGTTGCATTTACTCACTTCAGTAACCCTGTCTGTGAATTTATAGAGGTTTGTATGGACTATGAGAGGGATCCAAGGCGCACTGATTATTGCTGCATGTTTCCAAAGTGTAATGGGATTTTTTGGCTTTTGGAGAAATGCTGTGAGGTTAGTTCTAGAAATCGTGCTCAGATTTATTGGATGGTTGGGTATTCTGAGTACTTTATCCTTTCTTCAGGTTCCTTAGTCCTCTTTCTGTTGTTCCATACGTGACTTTTACTGGGCTTGGACTTTATCATCTTGGCTTCCCCATGGTAAAGAGTTCAATCTTTCATCCGTTGCTTTCAATTATTGTTGATAATTGCAGTGCTGCTTCTCTTTCTTGCACTTAAAGCTTAGAGCCTTTTTTCTTTCTTCTCCTTTTAGGTGGCGAAGTGTGTTGAAATTGGTCTTCCGGCTATTATAGTGATGGTTTTCATTTCACAGGTTAAGTATCAATTCCTTTCTGAGCTAGCAATTTGTCAAGAGTATCATAGAAAGTAGAGTTTTTACCAGGAATGCCATCTTCTCAAGCAACAATTTTTTGGTTTAGAGTGAACACAGATAACTCTTATCAGTTATTAAAGAGTTATGTATCTTACAGCTTTTCAGTTGACCAGACTATCTAAGATGTTATACAGTTTATAAGGTGTCATTATGGATGAGTTCCTTTCCCTTAATATTGTCACCTGTTCAATGCTTTTGCAGTTTCTTCCTCATTATATAGAATCCAAGCGACCCATATATGACCGGTTTGCAGTCCTCTTTTCAGTTGCAATTACATGGTTATTTGCTCAGCTTCTAACTTCAGCTTCTGTGTATAAACACAAACCTGAGAACACTCAGATTAGTTGCCGGACTGATCGTGTTGGCCTTATTAGCTCAGCTCCTTGGTTAGACTCTGAAAAATTATCAGTGCCAATTTTTAAACCAGCCAAATTATTAAAGACACTTTTGTTTAAAATATTTATAAATGTAATTATTTTGACAACATAAGGTCTTATTACTTCATATCATATCCTTGGCTGCAGGATATATATTCCTTATCCCTTTCAATGGGGAAGCCCCACTTTTAATCCTGGAGAAGCTTTTGCAATGATGGCTGCTTCTTTTGTATCTCTCTTTGAGGTATGATCCTTGACAGAGCTTTAAAGTGTTTCTAGGTTCTTAGCTATCTATTATGCCATCAATCTCTCTTACTTTTGGAGCCCTTAGAAGGTGGATTACAGAAACATCACCTGATGCTATACCATTGATCTACAAGTATAATTTCTTTTGCAAAAGTCTACATTATGAGCTTGTCTAATAGAATTAAATTTCACTCATTTAGGAGCAGAACCATGCATATTGTATAATTCAATAAAAAATTTTGTTTAGACTTTTCATATCATAGACATAACAGCTACTAGTAGAAAGATTGAAATGTGTAACTTTCAGTAACCATCTCCTGGTTATCTGCAGTCAACTGGCACATTCTTTGCAGCAGCAAGATATGGAAGTGCTACTCCAGTGCCTCCCTCTGTTATCAGCCGTGGTGCTGGATGGCTGGTAATATTTGTTTCTCAGAACTGCCAATGAAGTAAGGAACAATACTTTGACCTTACTCTCAATTCTAGACTTTATCCCTTCTTGTACAATGCCTTTGCTTTTCCAGGGTATTGGGGTTTTGCTTAATGGCTTGCTTGGTTCTGTTACTGGCACTACTGCATCAGTGTAATGAACTTGAACTTTTGTTCTTGAACATTAATGTAATTTAGAACATCAGATGGATGATTACTAGCCCCACCTATACTTATTCTTTGCTCTTTACAGTGAAAACACCGGGCTTTTGGCATTGACAAGGGTTGGAAGCCGCAGAGTGATACAAATATCAGCTGGCTTTATGATTTTCTTCTCTATATTTGGTAGGCCATCCATGCAACATTAAATATAATGGCAGGTTTTAGATTTCTTCTGTTATAATTTATCCTCAACTTCAATAAGTTAAAAAAGCTCCAGGTGTACTTTTTCCTTCCTCGTTTCATTTACACTGCTGTTGCACTCTAGTATGTTTCTTTTGATAATTACTGATCTTTGGCTATGTTGTGTACTTTACAAGGAAAATTTGGAGCATTTTTTGCTTCTGTGCCACTACCAATTGTAGCAGCTTTAAGTTGTGTTCTCTTTGGCTGTGTCTCTTCTGCTGGCCTCGGCTTTCTCCAATTCTGCAACCTGAACAGTTTCAAAACAAAATTCATATTAGGCTTCTCTTTCTTCATGGGAATATCTGTTCCACAGTACTTCAGAGAGTATTACCATGGTGGTTGGAGATCAGCTCATAATCCTGGATGGGTAACATCTCAGGACTAAACTTATAAAATTAAATAAACGAATCTTAAAAATTTCATGTTTTTAGCTACTTAACATTTTTGAATGAATTACAGCTCAATGACATAGTGACAGTGATGTTCATGTCTCATACAACAGTTGCTGCTTTGGTTGCATTGTTCTTGGATGTGACACTGTGCAGAGAAAATGATGAAACAAGAAAAGACAGTGGCTTGAAGTGGTGGGAGAAATTTAGCTTATACAAATCAGATGTTAGGAATGATGAATTCTATGCACTACCCTGCAGCCTGAACAAGCTTTTCCCAGCTCTTTAACTCTTGCACATCTTTATCTGTTAAACTTCATAAGAGTGAAAACTTGAGCTGTTGTTTTTGCAGTAATGATTATTATCTTTCCACTTCCTTTTTGCAATTCCTTCATGTTTCCCAATCTTCATTCTATCCTGTTCCCACATTCGAAATTTGATTTTCCAATAAATATCAAACCAAAAACAAATTCGATGTTCCAAGTTTGAACTTACTGACCAGCCTCGCCGTACTAGAAAATTGTGATGCTTTTAATATTTACAGGTTAGAAATGGCTGAGGCATTGCTTCAATGTAGTCACACCACGGAAATGTGAGAAGAAACCTTTGATTTAGAAGACGAAAAAAGGGATGAAAATGGAGACAAGAAAGTATAAGTGAAAATTCACTGTTTCATGATAAGTGTATGTTGATGCCTGTCAAGAAATAAGACTTATGAGCTTGATCATAAAATCTTTACTCTTGTTTTGAAGGGAGAATTAAATAGATTAAATGGGGTAAGATGCGGGAAATAACTCTTTTATATTAACAAAACCACAAAGAAGATTGGGCTGGGTTTGGAATGGTGTTAAAGCCGAATCCTTTTTCCCCCTCCGTGGCCCAAAGTAAATTGTCACAGATAAACGAACAGAAACGTGAAACCGATAGACAGCAGCAGAAAACACAGCCGAACAGAAAGGACCAAAAGACACCAATACAATTTAGCCGTTGAATAAGCGGAAAAACAAAAGAGCAAGAGAGGAATGTGTTCATCCTTAATGCTACGTCGTTTCTTCTGCTTCAATGCAGCATCATCATCATCAGTAGCAGCCGTTTCTTCTTCTTCTTCTCCTACTTCCAAGAAAAAGTCACTTGTCTTCTTGGGTTCCCCTCAGGTACTTTAAAAAACTTTTTTTTTTAAAAAAAGCCCATTTTGATATACTAAATTTATATGCATAAATGTATATCTTATTGCTCTTTGTTTGTTTCTTTAATAACATGGGTGTTTTTTTTTTTCATTTCAGGTCTCTGCAACAGTTCTTGATGCTCTCTTCAATGCCTCTGCTGCACCAAGTTCCTCTTTTGAGGTACTGAAGAGAAAAACATTTGAAATTTTGATTGAAAGTTTTCAAGTTTGTGTTTATAATTCTTTTCTTTTACCATAATTTGGTCTGTTTGATGATGGGTTCTTGTTAGTTTTGGAAAATAGGCTCTTCTTAAGAGATAATGTTTATTGGTAATTATTAAAAAATTTGATGATTTTAGGCTAGAGTATTGTTAAAGGAACAGTTCAATTACTTGAGAAATTGATTTGAAAATAAGAATGTTAAAACATAAACAGATCTCAGCTTGTCAGTTGGCATCCCCACTTTTAAGTAGTTTTTGGGAAATCTATTTTGATATCGAAAAGGTAAAGCCCAAATTGTGTGAATTGAAACTTTACTGATTTTCTTGGTATTTGCACCTTGAATCAATCAGCGCATACCTTTTTTTGCTGAGAAAAGAGAGTACAAAATGTTTGCTGTGTGGGATGTTTTTGATAGTTTTCGTCGATAATCATTGCTAATTTGGTAATATTTAGGTTGCAGCAATTGTTACTCAGCCGCCTTCTAGAAGAGATAGGGGCAGAAAGGTGATGCCTTCACCAGTGGCACAGTATGCTCTTGACAGAGGCTTTCCTTCTGGCCTCATCTTCACACCGGAACATGCTGGAGAGGTAATTTTCCTTTCAGTATTTTAATTTAGTACACTTTGGAATCATAATCATTTTCTTATGGAAATCTAAAATCTGCATGAATAATGTGCTGCTTTGAATTGGTGTAAATCTAATCTTCAAATTTTGGTCCAATTTTACTGCTATCTTGTTCAAATAATCTTTGAAGTGATTTTGGTCCAGTTAGAAACTTGGAATCTTGTTTACGACCGATCTTTGTTTGGAAGAAAGAAAGGAGGGGGCAGGGGGCGGAGGGTGAGGACTCAGGAGGCTAAGTAGAATAAGTGTTAAACCTTATAGTAGTTTTCTTAATAAGCGTTCAAATTGATTAAAATAATGATTGCTTTCTCTCAAATGGCCTAATTTGTGAACTTGATATATTGCCTAATTTGTTGTCTGAGATGCATGTGAACTAATTACTTTTCGGTCGCAACATTCTAGAAAGGCCTTATTGAGTTGCTGAGTGGAGTGTTAATGTGAGTGTGTGTGTGTGTTACTATACTGTGTTAATTCAAGTCTCTGTAGAAGTCTTGACTGCATAATGATCTTTTTAAAAATTTTCTCTTTTATGTAAATATGTATGTATCTATCTGGTTCTTTTTGCTTATCTGGGATGAGCTAATTTTTAAGTTATGTTTGGAAATGATGAAATTAGGTTTTTTAATTAGTTTTCCTTGATTGGTATTCATCAGTCAGGTGGAAGAACAAGTGCCACTTTTTTTTTTAAGTATACTTTTAATTTAAACACTTTTGATGCAACAAGATAATTCTAGCAGTCTTTCTTATATGTCTACTTTGTTAGTCATATAAAAGCCATTAAACTTTCCCAACCTGCTCATAAGGGGTTATTTGCTTGAAAACAATTAATTTTTATGCAGGAGGCCTTCTTGTCCAGTTTGACAACTTTGCAGCCTGAACTTTGCATTACAGCGGCATATGGGAATATTTTACCCACCAAATTTCTGAATATTCCATCATTAGGTTAGTCAATGGTATTTTTGTTAACAAATTTGGAGTTTTGTTTATCTTCTGCCCATATGCTGTTTGTGCTTATCTAATGTTTGTTCTCAAGTAAACAAACCCAGCTACCAGATTTCTTTTAAATATATAATAGAAATGTGATCTTTACTGATTCAGCCTTCTGTCAGGTGCTGGTTTCTGTACTGAAAGATGATTGCTTGTTTTGTTGACTTGAGCTTGTAACGCATATATTGCTTGGAAGAGAGCTTGGTCATTGTACTTGGTATATGTGGTTAGATTGTTAAATAGCTAAGGAGTAATACCCCTAAAGCATTTCAAATCTTTCTTTTCTTATCCATAATGCACCTCAAATCCTCAATCAACAATCAACATAACTCTAGGTTAATAGTACATCTTTCGTAGAATTTGTATGTAATGCATTTTTATAATATTCCTTATGTTATAATGAATTAGTTTCCTGTATGGCATAAAAATCAAACTAGGGCTTCAAATCGTGCATGATTATCCATTAGAAGAAATAGAATGAATAATTTGTACATTTTCAAAATTTCAGGGTTTGGGTATTAAGAACAGTGATGTCTTCTTAAGGATGAAGGATAAATTATCTTTTAAAAGTCTCAAAGTATGCATCTTTTTTTTTCAGGAACAGTAAATATACACCCAAGTCTACTGCCACTGTACCGTGGTGCCGCTCCTGTTCAAAGAGCTCTTCAGGTTCATCCTCTCTAAAGATTTCATTGTAATTATTTGAATGCTTTTATGATTATCCCATGATGTACAATCATTCAGTCTCTTCACTAGGATGGTGTCAAAGAAGCGGGAGTCTCGTTAGCATTTACTGTACGTGCATTAGATGCTGGACCTGTCATTGCCCGTGAAAGTCTGGAAGTTGATGACCAAATTAAGGTAAGGATAATTGTTGCCTGAAAAATCAATAATGGCTTATATTGTCTATGATCAAAGGGTTTAAGTTAACCAATATTTACCTTTGCAAGTCCAAAAGATGTTTGCCCTACACCAGTTGGTGAGAACACTAGGCAAGTGTTTTAGCGATAAATGGACTTTTCTTTCATCTATTAACTTTACATCATACGCACAATATAAAATGTTGATAGTTAGCTAATTATTTGCCCTTTTTTCCTTTATGTTTTTCCTTTTGTTGCCTCTTCCGTTAGATGCCATGTATGTTTGCTACACTTGTATGCATGCACATAAGCACAGATGTGGTTGTGCATACACCACATCCACACCACAGTCACTATAAGTTCAATTTTAGCTTTCTAAATTGATCTTCTGGATGCTGCATTAGTTTATAATCTCTAACCTTATAAATTAATTATATTGACAAACACTAATATGATTTGCATGCAGGCACCAGATTTGCTGGCATTACTATTTTCTGAAGGTGCTCCTATTTTCTTCCTGATACATCTAATATTTTGTTCTGTTTCATGCTGCAACACTCTTGCAGTTTATCTACTTTATTCTGTATAACCGTATGTTACAACTTGCATGAAACTTATAAGTTGTTGATATTGCCTGTTGCTGCACATTAGTCAGTCACTACTATAGATTACATAAAGCAATCTTGTTTCATTCATGCATGCTTGCATAGATGTATTTGCAACATCAGACTGATGTAGAACAGCTTGGGGTGCTAGGGCTTATGATAATAATAATCTGAAATTCCTATAAAAATTGGGAAATGAATACAGAAAAGAGAAACAGGAAAGAAAAGATAACCTAAGCATCACCCCTAAGGTTGATTGCATCACAACATCACAATAGCAACAATGCTAAATTATTCTCATAATCTCTTAATCTGTCTTTAAAAGAAAGAGTACATCAATATTTATATAGGCTACAAGCCTGCTTTCAACCCTAATCTTAACAGAACTAGAAATCCTATTCAGGTTAGACTTTAAAGAAAATACTGAAGACTCCTTATAGAAAACCAAACTAAGACACTAAACCCTAACATGAGCATTTAGCCTATTTTTGGCTATTTCGATATAATTCTTGTCCCATTGTTGTAAATCATTGGCATAGACTGCTTTCATTTGCCTAAATAATAGAACTGTAAGACCTGTTTTCTGGTTACTGAGTCATATTTCTCACGTATAACATCATCCTCTGCTTAGATTTATGTGGATTTATGTTGTGCAATTATACATGTCAATGCAATATTGTTTGGTTCGGTTATCTTCCTTCATCTTGTTTTTAGTTTTAATTTCATCTTTTGGGTGATTGGTTTCATTTTAAATTATGCAGGTTCTAAACTTCTTATTAGCAAACTTCCTTCCATATTCGACGGATCAGCTAAGGTGCATGCAGAACCTCAAGATGATTCTAAAGCTACCTTGGCTCCTAAGGCAAGGCTTCAATTAATATTATTTGTTTAGTTGCTTATCGAAGTATCATTCATAGGAATTATTTGAACTCTGTTTTGCCTCTTGGTTGTGTCTCTGTTCTTATATATCCACAAAATTACTCGCTGATGGCATGTATTGTTTCTGAATGTTTATCAATGTTGCTATATAATCAATAAAAATATGTTGGTATACTTTTACATATTTACATACCATTTGTCACTTTTTTTGTGTGTTTATTCAGTATGTTCATGTAAAAATAAACTTTGAATCTCTTTTGCCTCTTCCTGATGTTTAGTGGAATACTACGTATTTGTCGGCTGGTGAAATGTTTACTTTTCATATGATGGCCTACTTTAGGCTCAACTCAGTGTCAATTGAAAAGAGCTGATGGAAGTGATAGATTGCTCAGGCTTTAAAAACGATAGAACTTTGCAACTTGCTACTGTAAGAATTTACAGCGTTTAAAATGTCTGAGCACCTTTAAAGGTAGTAGCATCATTTCCAATGAAAGAACTGTTTGTCTAAAATTTTATCAAAATGTGCTTCTTGTGATCCCCCATAGAAGTTACTGCATGGCAATTGCAAAGAAATCAAGCTCCGCATTTCTCCCTCGTTTACTTGTTGCCATTTTTGTTTTATTGAACATGCAACCCTTAACTCCGCTATACTTGTTCTCTCTACTAGAAAATGCACCTTTTTCATTGATTTTAGGCATATTGATCATGCATAGATATGCATCTGCTCTTGTTCACATTCATATATCTTGCTTGGTAGATCAGCTCAATATTGTGGTACCGGATCATGCCTAAAGTCTTGCATGATCTGGCCTAAGGTTTGTTCTGTCAAAGTTTAATTGGTTTAGCTTCTTGTTTTATGGTTCACATGCAAACTATAGATGTCTGTTATATGAGTAAAGTAGCAAACAAGGCGAAACAATATGTTCAAATTGTATATATGGTAGCTCTGCCAGTGACCTCTAATCAGTCCATTATGTTGCCTAATTTAACCTTTTTCTGATTTAAGCAGATAACTCCTGAAGAATCATGGCTATCCTTTGATGATGAAGCTTTAGTCCTACATAATAAGGTTGGTTCCTCTTCCTTATGCTGTGAATCTGAGTATGCAGTCATGACGCGCAACTTCTTCAGGTTCGTGCATTTGCAGGCTGGCCAGGAACCCGAGCAAAAATTTTAGTTGTTAATGACAAAAGTAGCAGCCATAATATCCTGGAACTTAAAATCATCACCACAAGAGTAGGGCCTGATGATAATATTCAGGGTAATGATGTAAATGACATTGCTTTTGTCAAGGGTGCACTGGTATTTCCATGTGGAGGATGCACAACTCTTGAGGTGTGTGATAATTTATAGTTTTTGGTTTTCCAAATAATGTTTTATGGAATTTATTGGTGTTGTTAGAAGTTGCAATTTGTACAATATCCATCGGACACATCCAGTTCTCCTATATTGTGTTTACCAAGAAACCTCTATTTTAATGCTAAAGCTCTTAATGATAAGGCGGCCAAATATAATTTTCTAATCAGCTATTCCTACATCCAAAGTCTCATTTCTAATTTTTTGGTCTCCCTGATTTGCTGATCCTGAAACTTTGTTGATTAAAGCAGGTATTGGAGGTTCAACTTCCTGGTAAGAAGGTAATAACTGCAGCCGCCTTTTGGAATGGTTTACGTGGTCAAAAGCTAAAGACATTATAACAGAGGAGGCATTTTACATAAGAGCGGCAGTGTAAAATTTCTGTTGAGATTTGGATTCAAAACTTTTTAATATTTGCTTCTGTTATTCTTTATTGTTTGAGACATATGTCAAATTTATTTGTCTTATAATGCCCTCCTTTTCCTTTGAACGGACATGTGCAACATTGAAGTGTTAACCTCTAAATTGTATTTCTGTAGTTGCGCAACCTATCACCATGGTCAGCACAAAGAGCAAAAAGTGGTAAATAGTCTCCTTGTTTTCTAAATTTTTTTGTTGTCATTTGATTCATACATAAAAATGGTTCTTTTAAGCAAATTCAGAATCTAGTTTTTCAATGAAGTGATTATTTTTTCGGTTATAAGCTGTGACTATTAATTGAGGAACTAAGTGCCTGAGCTTGGAGCATTTATTCATCACCTTGATGAAGAGCATGTTAGGTGATAACTACATGGGATTAATTGCTTGGGATTTTATTTTGGGTGTTCATCTGTGAGAATGAAGTAAATTAACTGTCAATATTCTAGCATATATCATTGTACATCATAAAGGATTTGATCTGTTTAGGGCATGATACTATTTGACAAAGAATAAGGTGTCCTTAACAATGTAGCTGTTGGTCAATTGTTCATTCTGGGGGCAGCTAATTGCATTGCCCAAGAGGACAGATTATCATCTTCAGTTTGCGAGACTTGAACCAAAGGAATGTTGCTATTACTTTACATTTAAGCTATCGGAGAATGTTGTATCTGACAGCTCTAATGTTCAGTATGCAGGTCTTTGTCATACGGACAAACTACGCAGGACATTATCAAATTTGATATGTAGTAAAGAAAACAATCATTGGGTAAGACTTATCAAAACGTGAAAGTTTACAACTTGGCCAAATTTAAAGCATTTGGCACCTGCCACCAATCTATGGCAAGTGCATAAAGTTCATAGCTTTATCAAGCTTACAATGAAGACATGAAAGCAAGGAATATGCAATACATACAGTGATGACCACATGGTAACCTTGTAAGGGCACATAAAAATGCTCATTTCTCAACGCAAATGGAAAAGAAGAGAAGCAAATTGTGATGGACGGCCCAAAAGGCGCGTTGCAGTCCATGGTGAAGAAAGAGAGTTTGAAATTCGGACGGTAGTCCATGATTCTCTATTGCTCGAGTTAGGCTGGGCATCTGAGAAAGAGCTCCTTCTTTTTCACTTTTGGGAGTACAAGCAAAATGGTTTACGCGATTATTGTCACTAAATTGCTTATTCTTTTAGAATGTTGACTACCAGAAATGTGTTTGGAATTTTGCATACAGCTATGTTACCGAACCACGATTCTAATGCAAAAAATATACCTGTTAAGTGAAAGAAAGCTCGATTTTATTATATTAATTTTTTTGCTCATAGAGGAAAGAGATCAATTCTTATTTGGGTTTACTTCGAACTTGATATCTAAGGTTAATAAAAAATTTGATAAACTTTAATATTATTTTTTATAAGTTATGTTTTTAATCTTAAAAATATGTTTATTAGATTAAAAAAAGTCTTATCTTATTTTTAAATGATATAAGATCCATGGCAACTATGTTAGCAAGCACAATGTAATAACGACTAACAAGAGATTGACTCTGACAATAAGTTACCTATATAGACAATAAGAATTATTAGTTTTGAATTTTACACTAACAACTCTTTGTGGTTAATTATGAATGTCCAGTAAATGAGATGAATTCTTTTGAAATGCACACGTAATTTTAACTCTTGTGCGAAGTGTTGATTTGTTATTGGTGGAATTAACACAAATGATGCAGGACAATCATAGAAAGAATAAAACCCAAAAGAGCGATGGAAGAATTGCTTGTGAAATTTCAAAGAAATAGTGGATAGAATCAAAAAAATAGAAGCCATTATTGTGACGAATTTTAGTAATAAATAATTGGAAAGCAAAGCCACACTGATTGAACAAAATTCAAAGTGAACATAAAAAGTAGTCTATAATTTAATCCCTCCATGGGGTCTCACTCAAATAATTTAATCCCTCATGATTTTGGGCACATTAGCATGGTCTGTGGGCATGCCTTCTCTTTCTTTTTCTAATTTAATTTTTATGGTAACTAGCATTGCTTTCTAGACCCTACCTCTTCATGTATCTTCTCCTTTAAAATCCAACAAGCAAGTGTTTATCTACAAGCAATCATCTTAAACTTTTGTTTTCTCACTCATTTTGTGATACATAATACATAATTGAAAATTTGGATTTTGAATTTTAGAATTGATGGAATGAGATTTATAAAATAAGAGATGATTACTTTTCATTGTTCATCAATCCAAAATCATATGTGCCAAACAAATGTATAATCTATATAAATATAAGTATTATAAGTAAAAGTACAGATATTGAAAAGCTTTTGGATTAGTGAAAATTATCATATTTGTTCATTATAGTTCCCAATTGTCATTTTAAATAATTTTTTATTAATTCAATTAATAATATTTATTTAATGTGTAAATAAACAGGAACTCTAATTGCATAAAACGACTTTTATTATAAATATTAATAAAAAATTTTCAATTTATAAATAAATATTCTACTTGCTTTGAATGCCTTTCACTAAAATTATATTTCATTATAAATATAAATACGATTTATCTTATGTGTAAATAAGAATTCTAATTGCATTGATTGATTTTCATTAAAAATATTTTTTATTATAAATATTAATAAAATTTATCCATTTTGTAAATAAGAATTCCAATTGTATTGAATGACTTTCATAATTTTTTTCCTTAAAATATTCTTTAATAAGTTATGAATCAATATTACAAAATCCAATTATATATAATTGAAACATTAACTATCTTTTGATATAATTGTCTTTTATTTATACATAGACTATTAACCTTATATTATAGAAAGATTTGTATTTTATATATAAGAATTATTATTATTTAAAAATAAATAAAAAATAAATATTTATATGTAATGAATGTGATAATAAATAGCAATTTATCAAAAAGAAGATGAAGAAATCACTTACACTGGTTTAATTACCACTAATTAAGTTTTACATTCTTTGGTATCTTTTTATAGGATTTATGTTTTGTTAATTAAACCCTCGGATTTCATATGCAATTTTACATAGATCAGGGATGTCATATATCAAGTTAATGAAAATATTTAATTATTTTTTTGATAAAAATAAAATTTCAACTGTCAATATATATTAAAAAAGATAATTTTCTTGAACGATTTGATATAAATATTGAATTAATTTAAATTTTACTATAAATTTTTAAAATATTAAGTAATTTTATGCCGATATAACTTGATACTTCTTTCTGAAAAAAGGTAATGGAAAGAGAGGATGAATTATACATATCTAATTTCGTTATATTAAAAATAGAAAAAGTAAGAATTGCCTATCTGTATAAATATCAAGTCTCATAGTCTATATCATATGTACATTCCTTCCCTCTCCGTCTCTCTCTTTCTCTCTCTCTCTCTCTGTCTTTTTCTCTGTTCATTTCTGTGAGCTGTTGGCTTTCTGCTAAGAAAGAAGGGAAATGGGGGCTCTTGATTATATTTCCAACTTTTGCACTGTCACCAGCACAAGAAGCAAACGCAAACCAATGCAGGTAGGCATTCATTAGCAGCATATATGGAGACAGAAAGAACCTCTCTCTTTACTTTCTCTGTTCCCTTCTTTAATTACTTTATCTTCTGCTTTCCAAAGAACAAAGTGAGAAATTACCTAGAGATATAACTGAAGATATTGCAGCCTTATTTCTCTTTTCTAGTGATTTTGCATTTTTGATGACCTTAATGCTAAAGATGGTATGCTTTTTTCATTGCTCTCAGACTGTTGAAATCAAGGTTAAAATGGACTGTGATGGCTGTGAAAGAAGAGTGAAAAATGCTGTTACCTCCATGAAAGGTTCTATAATGAAGCTCTCAGTCTCTCCCCTTTTTCTCTATAGTTTCATAAATGTTTTCTTCATTGGAGCTCAAACCTCATTCAACTTTGAGCCATACTAAATTACCCATAATTAAACTCAATATTTTATAAGATTTTAACTTGACAAGAGCTACCGTCTTCTCCATTATAAGCTATCCTTTGATGAAAAGACAAGACCTTTGAATTGAATTATATATAATGGTCTGTAATTATCAATAAATAGCTAATAATTCAATGGAAGATAGCTTTTGGAGTGATGTAACTTAAAGAATTTCTGCTGTCATGGTTACATGGCATGAGAGGAAAAAGTTAAAAAAAAAAAAAAACAACCCCAAGAAAAATTTTGAATCATTGGTTCCAGGTTTTCTGGTTTGACTTCAATTCATTCCGACTTGTGAGCTATGCTCAATTGTCTTTACTTTACAATAACTTTTGTTACTTTATTTTTTAAGATGTTTGTACAAATTGCTTTTCTTGTTCTACTAGTCCCGCCCCACTGCACAGTCAAATGAGACCGAATAAATAAGATTCTAGTCTTTGACAAGGAGGTCACCCTCCCTTACAATTGCTACTTAATTTGTCATTTCATATAAAATTACAAGCATTATTCGTATAGAACATGAATGTTCATTAACTAAACCGTAGTTTATGCTGTTATACCATCGATCTTTCTCTGAATCCATGACTCCACGCAGGTGTAAAAACAGTGGAAGTAAACCGAAAACAAAGCCGGGTAACCGTAAGCGGCTACGTTGATCCGAACAAGGTGCTGAAGAGAGTGAAGAGCACTGGAAAGAGAGCAGAGTTCTGGCCTTATATCCCTCAACATCTTGTCTATTATCCTTACGTTTCTGGTGCCTACGACAAAAGGGCACCCTCCGGCTTTGTTCGAAACGTTGTGCAAGCTTTTCCAGCAGCTTCTTCCTCGAATGCACCCGAAGAGAATTTCGTATCGTTCTTCAGCGATGATAATGTTCATGCATGTTCAATAATGTAAGAATAATTAGATGGTGAATTTTTTGTTATGTACTACTTTATTTTAACGGTTTTGGTATGATTTGCCAGTTGCTTGGATTACCCCAGGTGAGAACTGGTAAGAAAGGGGAATGAGGACTATCTTATTATTATTATTATTATTATGAGATTCACTAAACTTTATGTTTTAAAAATTGACCCTCCTTTTTTTATCAAAAAAAAAAAATGATCCTCCTTTATTTATCAATACATATTTAGCCTTTTTTAAAGATTTTAATTTTTTGGATTGGTCATCCACTTCAATTTTAATAAATTTAATTTTAATTTTCTATTAAAATTACTCGATTTAAAAACAACTGATGATAGTGTCAAAATTTTGCTTAGATTAATTTTTTTTTCATTATGCAGAACACTGCACTATAAAAAACCATCAACTTTTATTTTATTTTTACATATTTGAGACAAAGCAAAACAACTTATACCGTTTTAGACTAACTATGCTTAGACAGTTTGTAAATAAATATGTGATAATACTATCCAGGGCAAAATCATAAACATGTAAACCTAAAGCTAGGTTGTAAAAAAATGTTTAGGTTGGCATGCAACATTATAAAAAAACAAAGTGATGTGTCCGAATTCAATTGAAGAATTTTCACACCGTTATCAATTATTTTTAGTAAAAAAATTAAATTGATTAAAATCAAGATAGAGACTAAGATTGTAAAACTGAGATAATAGAGAAACTAAATTCAAATTTCTACTTTTTATTTTGTTTTGATTTGGGAGAAGAGTATTTGGACTTTACAATTTTGAGTAGGGAATATAGGCACCGACCGTTATTAAATATTTAGGTATTTTTGACAAGAAATTGAAACAAATAATCTAAGTTGTTAGATTATAACTTGGATATTGTTTAGTTTGGTATATCAAATGTTTAAGCTTTTACCTCATCACGGGGCGAAATGCATAAGCAAATTTCTTAGGTTTAACCTTATTGAGAGATCCAATGTTAGATTGAATGGAGAAAAGACAAAAGGATTGATTCCAAACTAAGGGGGATGAAGTAGACAATTGCTTATAACTAATAAAGAAGGGTAAAGAGAATCTTTTGAGGAAAGCATATAGAAAGATGGAGAAGCGTGAAAGAGGAAGGTGAAGCCAGGGAAAGAGAAAGTTAGGAGTTTGCCCACTCCCACCCCCATATGTCATAAATATATTATATACAATTTTATTATCATTACATACATATATAGACACATATGTTTATATATATATATATATATATATATATAACGATTTTAGATGTTAAATTAATATTAAAACATGAAGTTATTTTTCTTTCTTGAGATTAATAATGAATTTAGAAAGGGGAAAGGAATTTTTTTTTTTGAAAGGCTACATTAATTATGATTGATTAGTGAGAAAATATTCAAAGCAAGGGACAGAGTTCAAGATTGGAGAGTTTTTGGAGTGAAGAATAGGATTCTTGCTTCCCACCACAGACGATGGAAATTAATAAGGCAATGCATATGGTTGTGATGTACTGTTTTGGAGAAAATCCAAGACATATTTCCATAATCCTTTAGAAATATGTTCCTTTAACTTAAGTAATTAAATAGAATTATAAGCTCAAAATATATATCATTTTTGTTTGAATCATGAAGATTTTTTTAAAAAATTCATTATTCATTATTGTGCAAAATAATTATTTGAAATTAATTAAATTATATATTAATCTAGATTTGATTAATTGAATGGTTATCTTTTAAAGTTTGAATTCTTCATTCCTCTTGGCCTTGCTTAAACGTACCCAAAGTAAAAGTAAGAATTCAAAGTTGAATATTCTGTTTGACTTTGTCACATAATTTGTTTTTTTTAAAAAAATTACTTTATAAAATTGTTAACAATCAGAATTTGGATAATTTTCTCTAAAAGTATAGCTTATGCATTATTTGTTTTTAATTGAACTTTTCTGTGAAAGTTATTTAATTTCTTAAATTCTTTACCAGGCAAATAACTCCTAAAGTGTTTTTATGGTAAAATAGAGAAAGAAATTGCAAAAAAGGTAATAAAACAGAAAGGGGAACGCCCATTGTAATGGAACATTTCAAAACCAAAAGAAGAGGGCGTTTAATTTGAAAAAGACTGGCATTATATAAGACAAGTTACCCTTACAATTTAAAGGAATGTAAGTATAGGAGAGAGAGAAATGATATACACTCTCTTTTTTAATATATAATTTTAGGCCATATAATGAAAGATAATCCTATCTCCTCTTATAAATCTCGTTCTTCCTGTCTCAAGATTCAAATATGAGATTTCCAATTTAGTTTCTCAAATTTTAATAGGAATATTTCAATTTATTTATGTGTATCAAATGTCAGATCCCCACATCTCCCAGTTTTTGGGTTGCTTGATTATGAATCAGTGAGCTATAAATCCCAGAAAAGAAGTATGGTGGGGACCTGAAGTTAGTGCTTTCAGAGAAATACACCAATAGCATTTATAATAATAATAATAATAATAATAATAGTAGTAGTAGTAGTAGTTGGTATATGTGTATATATCCATTGAGGCATCCATTCCACTTTTTGCCTTCCTCCTTATCCTCTTCTTTCCTTGGTGAATACATTTGCCTTTTTCATTGCAAAGGAAAAGTAGAGGTAAATTCCCTCATATCAGGTGATCATCTATTCCATTAGATAATACCTTCCTCAGCATTAACCAAATCATTCTCAAGTTTGCTTTGCTTACATAAAAAGCTAAATATTGAGATTCACCACCATGAATTAAGGATAAATTTTTCATTAATTTTCTAGTTATAAATGTAATCTTATTGCAAAAAATTTAAGACAAAGAAGAAGAAGATACAATTAGTAATTAATAGCATAATGATATTAATTAAAACTGTATCTAGGAAAATAAGATCTCATATTTGAATTTCATTTTTCAATGTTTCATGAGGATCTAATATCTTATATCAAGTTAGGATGATCATGTGTTATATACAAATATATCTTCAGCACCAAAAAAATAACCTAGCTACAAAAACTTTATAATAAAAAAATATAATGTCGTCAGCTTCAACGAAATTCAGTTTCAACCAAAAATTAATAAAAACATGAACAATTTTTAATTTGGTTGCCCTAATGGCAAGCACAACCTTCACAATTTCAACGACACATCCCTAAATATTGGCTTTTAAATTTAATGGCCTGACGTATTTACAATATTAATTTATCAAATAGTGGTAGTTATCATTTTCACATAGCAACACCAATATGGGTACTATCTTATTCTGAATTATTCCTATTAATTATATATACACTTAATGCAAAGAGACAACAAAATACAAACTTTTTTATCTTCATTATCTTATAATACTGGCCATTATAGATTTTTCGGCGATCTTTTGATTAATTATTCTTATCATGTCAATCATGATTACTTTTACCAGCAAGTTTACTTTGTATGTGATTTGAGAATCATTATAGATTTAATTATAATGAAATGACAGATATATAATTTAATCAAAATTAAAATGAAAGAGGGAGATTAATGATTATTGGGAGCACCATCACATTCTTTTATATTGGAAATAATATTTGGTGAAGCTTCTATTAAAGGGCCGGTAGCCTTTTGTTAAAGACTTTTTTGACACTGTTTCAATAGTTTAATTAAGAAAAGAATGAATCCACTAATCGAACTTCCATAATTAATTGCTACATATCAATTAAAGAAATGTTGCCCTTGGGATTCTACTGGGAAAAGATAGATAGGAACTTTGTTTATTTGTTTTGCAGCAAATGGGATGGAAAAGAGTGGTGGCTGCACCATGGGCGTTGGATTAGTCAGGAACAAATGATTCCCCTTTGACAAAAAGTCAACTAATTTGAAGATCCTCTATTGAACAGAAGCCGCACTATTAGAAAATTCTTCTTTTCTTTTCTTTTTTCTCTCAATTAAATTGTTTTTATTATCTTGTGTCAAAGGATACACATTGATTCAACATGGATCACTTCTTTGTCACTTGGTGGCTAACCTGATAGATTGTGTTGTGTTCAACGTTCATAAACTCTTCAAAATTGCCTTACTTACTTGATGTGAAATTAAAACATTTTATTTATTTTTTTAAAATATTTAACATAATATTATCACCCATCTAATTCGATGATATCTTTGTTGTCCATGCTTGTCTCTTCTTTGGAAGTGCTTGGTGTGAATGAAGTCTAGGTTAACGTTTATTTTGATATCATTTTGTCACGGGATCATTCCACTCTATTCAAAAGATTAATTTGATAAGATGTACAGTATTTGCATTTAAACTTTTAAAGATTTTTTTACCTGCTCAATGTGAAATTGAAATACTTTATTTCTTTTGAAACGTTTGGTTTACTTGTATACAAAACCATTGATACATTATCCTTTTCCAAATTCATACTTCTAGTGAAAATAATTACTCATTTAACAAATTTTTGAATTTTAATTATGTGATTTTTTTTAAATTTAAGTTCAAGCTTTTCTTTTTTTATACTATGTAATATTTTAATTTATATAATATTAAGTAGTCGTATCTCTTGTTTTCAAAAAAAAAGACCATCACTCATCTCTTATAAATTTCATTCTTCTCTTGAAACTTTCAAGCTGATATCTCAATTTCTCTCTGATATTCCATTGAGGGCAAATATTAGAATAGCTTAATTTGATTGCAAACATATTATCGAAGAAAATAAATTTACGATCCAAAAATCTCAATTATGGTGAATTCATTTATAAAAGTAGATAAGGATTTGCTCTTACGATTGTGATCAATCACAATTTTTATTTCGCAATTGCAATATCATATTCTACATTATAATTAAGTTCATAAGCTAGATGTTCCAGCTAATAATCTTGTTTTAGGTGGCTCATCTTAAATATATTTAATTTCACCCCGTTGTTTTTTTTTTATCCTTTTTGAATATTATAGTTCGTGCGCCGTTTGAGTAGACATTTCTATCAAGTCAATTAATAACTTGATTATATATGAGCAAATATCAATAATAACTATAAATTAGTTTAGGGAAACGTAATAACAAGATCATAAGACATAATGAATATCATGTATATAACCATGGGAGCCACAAAAAAGAAAAATGTTTTGTTGTTATTGAAAGTAAGTACAAAGGACTAAGAGTACTAATGTGCCATAATCGGGCTAAAAGTGCAGCTCTAGATGATTAGTTACAAATATAGCTTTACCAGTAATCAGGTAACTTAACAATTCATCGATTATTCACCCTAATAAAGAACTAACGAGTTTTTGTAAGTATGTTATCAAGAACTATTACAAGGCATGAAAAGAGACATTCCTTTCTTAGGTCTTCCCCTGAAAGGCTTAATAAGCATTTTTAAATGCCCCTCCAAGTGTTGTTACAAGGCATAAAATGAGACATTTTTGCCTTAAAGGGTCTTTCCCTAAAAACTTAACAAGCATTTTTAAATACTCCACCAAGTGCCATTATAATGTTTAAAAGATAACACTACCCATAAGAGTACAAAAGATTTAATCTCTTAAATAGTTCCACCTATCATGACCCAAAGTACAAGATTGACTCATGACTACATCCATAATTCCAGCACCTTCCTCCTTCTCCTTGCCAACAAGCAGAAAACGATAGAAGAAAATATAAAGCAAAGCACAAAAGTAGGACGAGAAAAGACAAACAAAACAAGAAAACACAAAATATAAAAATGCAAACAATCAGTAAAAATCTTAGCCCGTGAATAACAAGGTCAGAAAGTTGATTTTCATGGCTGTATTACACACTTCGCAAAGCAAAGTTAGGATGGCAGGGTCGACTAAATATATTATTGGAAAAAGGGATAGTATACTTTGTAATGTACAATGCTAACATGAAATTGTCTTTGCAGGTCCTATTAAGGTTATTTAGCATCTTTTGCCCCTTATATATCAACAAAAAGATCTTCCACCAATGCTATTAGCAGACACTGAGCAAATTCACAAAATTCCAACATCCGATGTTCCATATCATAATGTGAAGGATTTAACGTTTTCTTTTTTTTTCATCTGAAAATTTTGTCACGGATTGTGGAGTTGAAAAACTTCATATATGGGGTAATAATCTTTAATATATACTATAATTTTAATCTAAATTTGATATCTTATGAAGACAGTATTCTTAAAAACATCCTCACCAAGCTACTTACACAACTTTTCCCCACAAAAAAGAAAAAAGAAAACACTTTACAACATGCTTTTCTTTTGGTTATTGTAATTGAGTAATCTTCAATGTTCATCCAAAAAGGAAGCAACAATTAGTTGCCTTGCTACAAAATTAAGTAGGATAGTCAGGGGTGGAGCCAAGGTGGTGAGTTATAAGTATAAAATTATATATAAATATATAATAATAATATTATTTTTATTTTTATAATTATTTTTTAGCTACCTTTAATTCAAAATTTTGAATTCATCATTGAAGATAATACTATAAAAAAAGAGCAAAGAAAATAAACAGACTTATCTACATCAAATCAACGGCAAAGAATTGTAGTCCAAGTATAATGCCTTGATCAGTTACCTCTCATCTTCTCTAGAGAAGTTTATTCAGATCAAGCTTTATCCTTAAAATGTTCTCTAATGGATAATGAAGAATATAAGGAAAGACGATATATATGTAGGATTAGATCATTTTTGTTTTTGAAAGAAGGGATTAGATCATTAGTGGGATTGATTTGGATCATAAAGCATATATAGCTTTTATCCTATATCTTTTTGCCCCATGCAAAGTGAGATAATTATATGTTAGACATAATATTAGTTTCGACTCAAAAACAAAATCAATTTAATATTTTTAAAATAATTCCAAATATTCTCTCTATCATGTTATAAAAGTTACTAGTAAAATTTACAATACTTGAACTAGTGCTTTAAAGTTCAAATTTTAACACTCCTATTATATATATTAAAAATCAAATTGAGACATGATTAAACTAACTATTTCTTTATCATTAATATCAAAGTTAGACCCTTTAAAGTGTTGAACTACCTTGTATGCTTAAGCAGAAAGTTGGGCCAAACTTTGATTGGTATCATATTCAAATTACTATAATGAAACAGCCGGCTTCTTTTATTGGCACAGATTTGAGCTAGTTCCTTGACATCCAAGTTTTTGAGTACTCAAAAGCCACAGCCTTTTGAATGCTCTGGACCTATATATATATATATATTCCTTTCTAATTTTTCCTCAGTGTATGTTCCACTTTGGGGCCTTTGAAAGTGGCAAGAAATGTGGTTCCCTAGCCAAATTCGAAATGAAGCATAATCATGGAAAGGAAGTAATTATTGCTTTTCTTTAAATTATGTATTCTGATGGAAAAGCAATATAGATGGGAGAGTTGGTTACATCCAGCTAAGATTTACTTTAAGAAATTTTTATGAACGTAACCCAATAGAAGAGAAAGCTCTTAATTTTTCTTTTGAAAAATTACGTGTACCCATTTCAAGATCCCACCCCAAGTACCTACCATGCCAACTGTTTTGTTTCTCTCAAACCATCTTTAGCAGACAGTTCTATTCATTCAGGCAAAGGAAATGGTACCATTAAACAAAGTAAAGTAGCATTCAGTGTTTCTTAAAGTAACAGGATTCCAGGTTCTTTTTCTCCTGTTATCATTTCACTGATGTGCACAATCCATGTTCCTTCTGGCAAAACTTTGCTCCCAATAGAACACTGTCTTCTGGGAAACTTCACAATATAAAGTGGGATTTGTTGAATTCTGCTTGCTATAACAAAACTGAGGCTAAAGTTTCAAGACCTCTATTATATTGGCAATGTCAGAGGCAGACTAATCTACCCTTTAAAGTTTCATAGTATTGCGAACAATTTAACCATTGTTTGATGTGAAAGTCACAAGCAGTTTAGCCATTTTTATTTACTGAGATTCAGAAAACAGACTTTCTGTGGAATTCTGAATTTGCAAACAAAAGATACAGTCGTACAATGAGGCATTACAACTCGATCTGTACCAAACTCTGATAGGACATGCTACAGAATTAGTAATTGGAAGAGATGTAGAAGCATAGGGAAATAAAGCAAAGGAACATTTTTATTAAGGCTATCTCCCTAAGCTGTAAACATTTTTATATGCCAACAACCACCACATGCGAAGATGCCTCCACTTACCATAATTAACATACAGGTGTGCATGGGCCAGCCCCGGGCTGAGCCTATCAGGTTGGCCATTTTGAAAGCCAAGCCACACCCTAACCGACTAGCCCATTTTACATGTTGGTTTAATATTAATATTTTTAAATATATTTAATTTTGCTCTTAAAATTAAATAAAGTTATATAATTTTTAATAAAATAAGAATATACTTTCATAGGATTAATCAAGCTCAAACTAAAGAATCTTATCCTAAGTTCGAAATTATCTATTTGGAGTTACGGGTATGGGTGAATAGTCTGGCCATTGGATACTTTTAGATAAAAGAGAGCTACCTCTTTTAATAGGTATTCTATATTTGTCAAATGAACTCAATATTTGATTATTGCTTAAAACGTACAAAATTAAAATAATTTTTAAAAAATATAAATTTTGAAAAGAATTTCAAAAAAATGAGTTCAATTCAAAGTTTTGAAATCTTACCAAAAGGTGGTGCACAGTTGAATTTAGAAAGGCACAACAGTGTTGTAAGGAATTACTAATCTCATCACTAAGAAAGGCATCAAACCAAATCCAGAGTACAAACGAATAACCTCAAAATAAAGGTATACTCTGCAATGCATAGAGCAGAGCTATACCCTACCAACTATTTTGTATTTTTCAATGTAACCTCTCCCACCTTACTCGTTTTCATTTTTTAGTTTAAACCCCTCAATATATATGGAGCCTTGTATATGCCAACCTTGGGATCCATAAGTTGGTTTTCAACTCATTTCTTCTTTTCAAGTAGTTTTTGGAACCAGCTGGCAGACATCTTAGGGTACCTGCGGAGGGTGGTGTAGTCAACATAGACAATGCCAAACCTGGAAGTGTATCCTGATAACCATTCGAAGTTATCCAGCAATGACCAAGCAAAATAGCCTGTCACATTTGCTCCATCATCAATGGCTTTCTTCAACTGAGTCATGTAATCCTTGAAAAAATTTATCCTTGTGGTGTCATTCAATGCATTTGGAAGAGTACCATTTCCTGGATCATCCATGCCTGCATATCACCAGTGTTTTCACCAATGATTACATTGTTTTGATATACATTAAGCAAACAGATGCATATGGAGAGAAACTACTCTAATTAACTTGCTATATTCCCAAATATATATTCTTACCATTTTCTGAAATAATGATGTTCAGGTTCCCATAGCGCTCTTTTACATAAGTCACAGCTTTGTACATCCCCCAAGGTACAATGTAGAGCCACCAAGAATTTGCCTGCAATTTTTCAGACATATATAGTTATTTTAAGTACAACATGATTTTTAATGATAAATTTCACATTGATACACTTATATACGTATCAAAATCTATTACAGATTCGAGAAGCTATAAGCATATTAGGGGTGTAAAGACTAGAAAACAGAGTAATCCTTAATTTTAACTTTGAACTCTGATATAAAGAAAACAACTCCAAAAGAATCAAAATACGAGCATATTTTCTTTCACAAGAAATATTACATTATTCATTAACACGATGAGAAACATAATTGAACAATAAATCATACAAAACAAGAGATAAAAATGTGAAAATTTAACTTGTTAATATTCACTCAGTGAAAAGATCTGTCGATTTAGAGAATTACAATCATATCAACATCAACACAAAGCAATCAAACGCTCACAATCGAACAATTAATTATCCAGGAAAATGGAAGCGTAATCAATCTCAATTAATATCCAGGCAAGCGTAAATATAATTGAATAATAAATTATACACAATAAGAGATAAAAAATTGACGTAGTTTGACATTCAATTCTTTGACATCTACGGATGTGCAAAAAAGATCAACTAGTTAATAGAGCACTACAATAGTTTCAACATCAACAACACGCACTCAAACACCCAACTCACAAAAAAACACAAATAAAATACACAAAATAATCCCAAACCAAACTCATATACATGACCATTTGTACTCGATCTCAATAAACCGTAACCAAACAAGCAGAAGCATAATCGAACATTAAATTTTACATAATAAAAGAGTAAAAAATTAACATAATTTGATGCTCAACTTGCCTACATCCATAGAGAGTAATTATAGAGAATTACAATCATATCAAGATCAACACTCAAAAAATCTCAACCCAATCTAACACACATGAGCACTCTCACTCAAATTCAACAAACCTTAATCAAATATCAAACATTCACGTCCATGAATACTCTCCTTCAACCTCATGAGGTATCTACACATCCAACCTCGTAACACTACAACCCTATTTACATCTTTCTCTCACACCTCAAGGCTCCTTGTATTATTTATTTATTTGAAAAGGGCTCCTTATATTTGTTTAATAAGTCCTCCTGTCCTTCAAACAAACTTATTACCAAAAAATATCTTCTAACCAATCAAAAAATCTAATCTAAATTTTTTGAGATTGGAGTCACAATTTCTAACATAGGCGTTGAAAAGACAAAGGAAAATGCAGACAGGGAGAGCTGTTTTGGTTAAATTTTGAAGATAAGGATATATAAGAACCAATTTTGCAGGTCTGGTAATTAAATACTGAACTGCAGACACACTTGTGACTTCTAATTAGATTGAAATTACCTTTGGACCAATTTGCACTCCATTTTTTGCATCTGCAAAGTGTGAACACAAAGTTAAACAACTGGCTCCAGAAGAAAGGAACAAAAACACATCATAAAGCATTAAATAAGACATATTCACAAGTTATGTAGGACGACTTACTGGCGAAACCTGCATTCCAATCTGCCTGGTAGCCTGTGACGTTTGGTTTAGACTGTTTTGGATCATAGATGTAGCTAGTAGTATATTGGTTGATGCCCACATAATCCATTGAGCCATTCACCATCTTAATCTCATCCTTAGTAAACTTTGGCAGCCTTTCTCCAACAATTTCTTGCATTGTTCTTGGATACTCACCATATCTAATAGGATGCAGAAACCTATGAAATAAAAGTGAAAAAAAAAAAAGAAAAAATCGGTGTTAGGCTTTAGCATATGTCAATGACGAGACATGCATTTCCATTCTAGTTGAAATCTAACTGCCTTCGGTGGAGAGACAGAGTTTTGTAGATCAAGGCAACTGAAAGGTCATAGAACACAATCATACACTTCTAAGCTTTAATCGCACCAGAACCTAATAAATTTGTGGCTTTAACATAAGCTTGAGACTTACCAGCCAACGTGAAAATCTCTTGCTCTTTGAGCTGCATATTCATCAGCCTTTGATCTTGTGAGAGGTTCATACCAATTAAAATCCAAGAGAATTCCAATCCTGCCTTTCTGTTTGTCCTGAAGTTACATCCAACTTCCTATCAGAACATAATCCTCAGATTATTTTATCAGTCTAAACAGGGGGAGAGTCGAACAAACCTGGTATTTCTCACGATATCGTTTCACTGCTGTAGCATGGGATAAGATCAAATTATGGGCAACAATATAAGGCTCAGTTGCAGAGTTTCCAGCTGTGCAATTTCCAAATTCCTTGGAACACCTTGAAGGGGGATTGATGCCATTGTCAAAGCCAAGAGCAGCCACAATCCTTGGTTCATTAAATGTAAACCAGTTCTTGACTCGATCACCAAATGTTTTGAAGCAGAAGTCCGCATAATTGGCATAATCCTCTCTGAAAATAAAATTTGAATCATTAATTAACTGTTAATAGCTTTGTGAAAATTTTCAGGATTAGGAACAACCTTTTCAGAAAGTCATGTTCAAAAAGATCATTATACAATAAATTATCAAAAGGTTACTTAAATTTCAGTAACATAATAAATATTTACTTTATCTAAACGTGATAACTACAAGTCTTATTATGACTAGAAACATTCCAGTTGGATTCATCTCAGCTTCTGTGAATAGATTTCCATGGCAACTTAGAAAGATTTCACATATTTTAGGGAAAACAGAAGTCCATGGAAGTAACCCCTAGTTTATAAGAACCTCCAGAAAAGAAAACATTGTTGCTCTACTTACACAGATTGGCGGTTCAACCACCCATTGTACTTCTCCTGAAGAGCCAGAGGGAGATCATAGTGGTATAAGTTGCCATAAGGAGTAATGCCTATAAAAGAAATGGAGCAGTGTGAATCAGAGATCTTCATTTCATACAGAAATGCATTTCTGTAGCAATTACAAACTATATATATATACAAATATATATATTTGAAAAGTAGAAATTACAAACTATTAACTATTATGATATGGAGCTTTTTACTGTTAATAATAACATAATATAAAGGTATTAATCAACACATCTCATTGTGATTTCAATGCAAACCAAAATCGCAACTGATTTTCAATATTTGAGGTTGGAAGAAAAACCCAACATTTTCTTTTGATTTCAACGATTCCCCTTTGATGACATTGCCTAAATTTCTTGCTAGTTATCAGTTTCTTCCTTTTATCTTTTTGGAGAAGGCAGGGGAAAGCAACTCTGAAAGGGACTTCCATTTGAAGGGGCAATTACAACGAGGTCATGTCAGGATAGTACCAATTATAGCAGAAGAAAGGAAAATGTGATGCTTGCATTTATAACAATATAGCAGTCATGGCCATGCATTAATTTTATTTACCTTTTTTAATCAAGTAGTCAATCAACCTATTGTAATAATCAACTCCTTTCCAATTTACTCTTCCGGTTCCCTCTACAAAAAAATTCAGAGGATTAATTTAAACAGTAGTAAATATCAACTGAATCATTAATGACAGTTCAGAAAGATTTAAAACAAGTGAGCCATGGCTGCAATACCAGGAAAGATCCTTGACCATGAAATAGAAAACCTGTATGCATCAAAGTTGAACTTTGCCATTAAATCTATATCTTCCTGTGGAAATAGGGGGACAAAGTTATTAAGTGACGGAACAATATTATATCAATTAGATCATAGTATATTTTACATTATATATAGTATTTACTACATTATACTGTTGCCATACCTTGTAATGGTGATACTGATCAACAGCCACGTCAGCAGTATCATTGTTGGCAATGTGGCCTATTCCAAAAAACAAAAAATTACAGTACACAAATATAAGGACACATTTTAACAAGTAAAAAAAAATAAAGTAATCAATTTTTGGAAGATATAATTGATTATTCAAGGAAACAAAACGACACTAGACATCACACAGACAAACCTCTTGGCTGCTGGGCAGGGTGATATTCCGATTAGAATCATATTCCACTTTTGGCAGTTTTCTTTTATAGTAATAATTATTAATTTTTTAAAGGTAGACTGTTAATGGATCTCAAATCAAAATTAAATTTGGACTATGGTTTTGTCACTGAAAATGATGAAAGGATCAAAAATAAGATTAATTAAGTGTGGATAAAATCATTATCAGAGTTACCTGGTACTTTGACGAAAGCATCCCAAATGCTGGGCCCTCTACCATCCTTGTTCGCCATTCCTTCAACTTGATATGCAGAAGTGGCAGTTCCGAATACAAACCCCTTCGGAAAGAGCTCTCTGCTGAGTCCTCCGGTGTCAAGGTCGGCGGCTTTGGTCATGGCTACCGTATCCTCATTGTGCTGCTCAGCTGCATTTGCAATGCAGAGGATAACAGCAAAAGCACAGCATAAAAGAAAGGGAGCATTCATCATGGCCAGCTAGAGCGTGATGAATAATACTAGTAGAAGAATGTGGAGATAAAGAGACGGGCATTTATAGATAGGATTATTTTGGAATCATCAGTGTGCGGGACCCAATTAACATGGTTGAAATGACTTGCATGCCATTGTATGAACTGTGGAATGGCAAGTGTTAGGTGAGGTAGATCAACTGGAGCCCTGTTTTTTTTGTGGTTAAGATAAACTTATTGCTTTATGTTGTTGATTTAATTCGCTTAAGAAACTTACTGATTGGTCTTTCTTTTATCACCAAAAAGTCAGATAATTATCCAAGTTTAATTAGCAAAACAGTAGAGTTTGGTTCAATGGCAAAGATTGAAGAACGGTCTACCACAACAGCTTAAACTCTTCACTTAATGGGGTGATAATGCGCTGACAGCTGACAAGTGCTGAGCCAACTGTAGCTGTCTATCTGCAAATCTCTTCAGATTGATCTCTCTTCTCTATCCTCTCACCATTTATCCGCTTTGCTTCTCCCATTTTTTTTTTTAAAGCAGTTTTATTAGCATTAGAACTAGTATGCCTTTAGAAGTCTCTAAGCTATTTGTTAAAGACTTTTGTTGAGCTTTGCTTCTCCCTTTCATGTCAGGCATATCTTTTTATCTTCGCATTATCACTTAATCCCTAAGAATATCAGATTTAATCACTAAAACATACGTCCTTAGGTTATCAAGAACCGATTCAAGGATAGTGATCTGTTAATTAAATGAAAGGCCCAGATACACTGATGAGGTCTAAAATATGAGATTTGACTGCAATTAAATAATTAAAAAGAATTAATGTATGCTGGATTTATGTGTGACATAACGTGTTATTCCTTCAGTTCTGGGGTCTTACATGGCCGAATTTTTTATCACCCAACCAAATCATGTATATAATATTATATTTAAGGTACAAAATCATGGAAAAGATACAAAGCAGCGTAGACGATTATGACTTGTCGGCTGTGATTGCGGGCAAGCGCATTCATGCAGAGTGGGGGTGGGCAGAGCCGAAGTGAGACCCCACCCCTTCAATAAATTTTAAATTTTTATAATTGATTTATAATTTTAAAAAATTTTATCATTTCATATTTTTAATAATTTTTAAATTTATATAATTTGTTTTTATTTTTTAAAAATTTTATAATTTTATCTTAATAAAATGTTTAAATCATCCTAACATATTTTTATTTTTTTTAAATTTTATAATTTTACTCCTACAATAATTTTTTGTTTAATAAAATATTTCACAACAATTAATCAATAACTAATTTTAATAGAATTAAAACAAAACCAATTATATTTTTCAAAAAAAAATTATAAAATCAATTACAATATAATTATTTTCAGACCCCACTTCTTCAAAACCTCATAACCAATAGTTATTCTTTTTTCATTTTACCAAATGTTGTAAAAACAAAAAAAATATATATATTTTTTGCTTGTAAGCATTTTCTATGTAAAAAACATTTAGTTAGTAACTCAATTTTTATATCATTATAATTGGTAAGATTGGTTTATTTACTTATTTATTTTTAATATTTTTTTATTAAATAATTTTTACTTGATGATTTTGATTTAGAATTTTTCGTCTTAGTTATGTTTTGTTAAAAGCAATTTAATTAGGCCCCTAAGGTTAGTTATTACTTATTTATTTAGAGATTACTTTATTATTTTTTCTACAAATTAGTTGTGCTTTTTTCTTTATTTAAATTTTGTGAACAATTAAGCTTTTTATTAGAAGATTGCTTCCTCATGAAATTGTTTATTAATATTATATTTAATTTTTGTAATTAATTTTAAATAATTACTTCTTCATTGAATTATTCATTAATAGTCTTTAATATTTTTTAAGAAATTATTTTATCATGAGATTTTTGTTATTATATTTGTTAATTTTTGTTTGTTGTTAAGTTTATCTAGAAATTGAGATTATTGTCATTGTTAAATTATTTACGATTACATTAAGTAATTTTTTTAAATAAATTATCAAGATTAATTTATTTGAATAATTTTCGTCCTTTTAAACATAAAATTTGGACTCCCCTACTGCATTCATGTGATTGTTTATTCTTCATGTAATAAAACTCTTACACGGAATGAATATTTATTCTTCTCTCATTGTCCATAAAACTGCATCAAACCTTTAACTGATAATAAAAGCATGAAATATGTGGTTTGATACAAGCAACCATCGGAACACGTGATGCTGAAATAAGCCTCTTAGGCTGCAGGAGACTTATATTCAGCCTTATACTGACCCGTTACGTGACACCTTGACAATATCCCTTTGCAAAAACCCCACGTCAACCCCACTGATCACTCGTTGAACAAAAACAAGAACAAAAACATTTCCTTGTCGCCCATTAATCAATGGCCACTCAGGAGATACTTGAATACCATAAACCATGGGGACAATCTCCCTCCAAGCTGCAAACTGTGGCTTTTCATTGCCCCATGTTTGAGTGTCATCCATTTCTTGCCTTTATGTCTCGTCACGCCCTTTGCCCATGGTGCTCCTCATTACCATCTATTGCCTCGATTGCCTCTCTGTCTTCTTCCAGGTGACGATAATGTACTACAGGACTACATATGAGAATTGATTTGCTGCAGGATAACTTCCTTCTGATGAGTACTGCTCAGTCTCGCGACAGGGGAACATTATCCCCTGTATGCAGAAATCTCAAATACATGCAATTCCAAAGTGATAAAACATGGCAAATTAAAGGAACAAGAGAAAATTGTAGAATTGCTATAGCAAAAATCCTGGGTTTAAGAACATAAAAATCTCTCATCGTAAAGAAAGTTTAGAGAGATAGAAGATTAGAAAGTAAGAAACCAAAGGATGATATGTTAAATTCTCTCTTTTTCTGTTTTTTTTTTCTTCAATTGATTTTTTTATTTTTTTTAATAAATATAAGGAAAGTATAAAAATAAAAGACAAGAGTGCGCTGGCAGATCAAGGCTTCTGGAGTTGCCTATCATTACTATCACACACCGAAGAAAAGAAGAACAGCGAATACCTATATATAATGGTGGAATCAAGATTTTGAGTTTGTGAGATGAAAGACAATGTCTATAAGATAGTCATGCTTTAATGTTTGAAAAAAAAACATAAATTAATATAAATGAAAAAAAATTATATGAAAATTACACAAATAACCCAAATTATGTGTTAAGTACAAAATAAAAATATTTTTTAACAACTACTACATGCTAAGATTGAACATTTTTAATTGAGTTCGATAATTTTTCATAGAGTGGAAGGCATTTATCACTAAATGAATGTTAAAGTCTCAATGATTTCCTTTACAATAAGAATGATCAATGAATTTCTAAGAAAATCATATGACATTCTATTATGAGTCTCATTCTTAACAAGTTTCATAGTAAAATATACACGCCATGTCATAGTGAAAATTAGAAAAGTCAAGACAAGCTGGATCAATATGTTGTTGGAAAATTAGTTTATTTCATAAGGTTTTAACATCTTATATTGCTAAGGTACAAAAAGAAGTGAGTGCCTTAAATAAGCAAACTCATTATAAGCTTGTTGTAAGGAAGGAAACAAGAGTGGGTTCACGCGTATGCAAATTGGGCCAAACCTTGAATAACTTTTTATACCTTGGTTTTATTTTTTTTCTCAGCTTTCTCAGACTCATTCCAATTGAATCAGTCTCAAACTCTACCTACATGTTAATTGAGTTTTTTTAACTCTCCTGATTTAGTGCAACATTCACTTCAACTTAACATTGAATATCCTAATTTGGTAAAACGTTCACCTCATTCTCAGCCTATAAATACAACCTTTCTACCTCAGTCATAACACACACCAACAGTTCTTTCATCCCCTCTAAAGCTTCTCTACATATTTTCTTTATTTTTTTTTTACTTTCCCGCTGGGTTCTTTTTTTCTAAAAAAGTTTTTTTGTTGTTGTTGTTAGCTATCCCTTATTAGTTTGTGCAAACTAATAAGGAAAGGTCTATTGAATCTTGGAGAATAATTATTACAGTCCTTTTGCATTGAGTTTTGTTCTCCAATGGGGGAAAATCATTCTTAAGAACAATGAAATCACACCTCATACTTCTTTTTATTTCACTTGCTTTATTATATTTTCATTTGTTTATCAAATTTTACAACACTCTTAAGGATAATGGATTCCAACTCTGATAATGTTGTCACTTGTGTCCTTACTGCCACCACCATCGGCAATGGTTCCACCATGACTTCCACTCGTTTGATCGTTCCTTCTGTGCCTTCGGTCTCATATGCTAAACCATTTCTAGAAATTTTCAAAATTAAGGTTTTTAAAGGTAGAAACTTCAAAAGATGGCAAGAAAGGATTTTGTTTCAATCTTTGATGTTCATGGAGTGGCTTTTACGCTAATTGATTCCAAGCTAGATGATGTTAAAATACTATAACCATGGATGCACGTGAATAAAGTATGTAGGCATATGATCATTAACATGCTTTCTAATGAGCTGTTTGATGCATATAGTCCTTACAAAGAAACAAAGCAAATATAGAAGTCAATGATTTCCAAATGCACTACAAAAAATGCTTGGAAACAAAAGTTCATGATTGGCAACTTCTATCACTAGAAGATGAAGTACGACAGGGACATCAATAGTAAGATCAATGAATACCATAAGTTGATGGATGATGTCAAGGTTGAAAAAAAAAGTGGTGGATGATTTGAAGGCTGAAAAATCAACTTGCACGAAGAGTTTGTTGTTAGGTTACTAATTGAGAAGCTGTTAGAATCTTGGAATGGCTACAAGCAACAACTGAAGCATAAGGAAAAGTAATTGTCACTAGCAGACTTGATTGCACACATCATCATTGAAGACACAACTCAGATGGAGATTAAGGCCTTCAAAGCTAAAGAAGTTACAATGAAAGCCAATCTGGTATAAGACAGAACCTTGCATCTTCAACAAAGGTACACTCATAAACCTGATTATAAACCCAAAACTCTTCATTCCATTTTTTTAAAAAAAGGGTGGTTGTTTTGTTTGTGGAAAGCTCGGGCATCATGCAGCATAATATAGGAAGATAGTAAAAGGAAATGTCAAACCTACAAATCCAAGAGTCAACTTGGTCAAAGTAGATGAATCCGATGATATAATTGCTGTAACCATTTCTCAAGCTAATATGGTGGCCAATGTGAAGGAATGGGTGATAGGCTCTGGTGCTACTAGGCATATTTGTGCAAACAAAAATACCTTTACCTCTTGTACCCCAGTAAGAGAAGGAGAAGAGATAATATATTTTGATGATTTTCGAACTGCTCAAGTTCTTGGCAAAGGGAAAGTCTTGCAAAACCTTAAATCTGAATGATGTTTTACATATTCCCAATATAAAGGCAAACCTAATTTCTGTGACTTTATTAGGCAAGGTCTGGATGAAAGTGTCATTGAAATCTGACGAAATCATAATGATAAAAAATAATGTGTATGTGGGTCAGAGATATTGTAGTCAAGAACTTTTTGTACTTAACTTTGCAAATGTTATGAATGAGTTCTTCTGCTTACATGATTGACTCAATTGATTTATGGCATGGTAGATTAGGACATGTTAGCATTCCCTATATTAAGAAAATGCAATCATTAGTTTTAATTTTTAGTATTAAAAATGGATGTTTTAGTACGTGTGAAATATATGCTGAAACAAAATTAATTAAGAAAACTTGTATTTCAATAAATAGAGAATCTGAATTGTTAAGTTAAATTCATACTGATTTAGGATATTTGAAATAAACTATGACTAGAAATGATAAGCAATATTATGTTACATTTATTGGTGGCCACTCTAGATTTACTAAAGTTTAGTTACTTAGGAATAAAGATGAAGCTTTTGACATGTGTCTTAAGTATAAAGCTCAGGTAAAAATCAACTAAATAATAAAGATAAAATGAGTTAGATTAAATAGAGAGGTTGAATACACACCAATTAATTATATTTGTGAAAAAGAAAGAATAATTTACGAAATTACTTCTCTATATTCCTCTAAATCAAATGGTGTAGCTAAAAGGAAAAATAGAACATTAAAAGAAATAATGAACTCTATGCTTGTTAGTTTTAATGCACATGAAAATTTGTAAGGTGAAACTTTATTATCTGCATGTCATATTCAAAATAGAATTTCTTATAAGAAAACTAATAAGACACCTTATGAATTATGGAAAGATTATTCTCCCAACTTAAAATATTTAAAAGTGTGGGGTGTTCTGCTAAGGTTATGCTTCTTGATTTTAAGAAAAGAAAGATTAGCTCTAAGATGTCTGATTGCATGTTTATTGATTATGCCAAACACAGTGTTGCGTATAGATTTCTTTGTATTAAAAAGTGATGTTCTTAATAATAATACAATTGTTGAATAAAAAATACTGAATTTTTTTAACGTATTTTTTCATTGAGAACTGATACAATTTTTCATGCACCTTTTAGTAAAAATAATTTTAAAATACAAAAAAAAAATAATTTGAGAAGGAGTAAAAGATCAAGGAAAAAATTTCTTTTGGTAATGATTTTTATACTTATTTTGTACATAATAATCCTTTAACTTATACCGATGCAATTTCTTCTAAAGAAAGTTCATTTTGAAAAGAAGCTATATAAAATGAGATTGATTCAATTTTACAAAATCAAACATGGGAATTAGTTGATTTACCACTTGGAGCCAAATCAATTGGTTGCAAAGAAATTTTTAAAAGAAAATTTAATCGTGATAGTTCTATTGATAAATACAAAACTAGATTAATTGTAGAGGGTTTTACTCAAAAATAAAATATTGACTATTTAGATACTTTTACTTCGATAATAAGAATTTCATATATTCATATTTTATTTGCCTTAGTTTTAATTTACAAACTTGTTCATTAAATAGATGTTATAACTACATTTTTAAATAGTTATTTAAAAGAAGAAATTTATATGGCACAACTAAAAGGATATGTTCTTCCTGGTTAAAAAAACAAAGTTTATAAATTGACTAAATCTTTATATGATTTGAAGCAAGGACCAAAATAATGGCATGGAAAATTTGATCAAATTTTTGTCAATAATGGATTTTCTAATGTTGGAGTTGATAAATGTGTGTACACAAAAACTATTAATAGTAAATGTGTGATTATTAGCTTATATGTTGATGATATGCTTATTTTTGGTACATGTAGTGATGTGGTTGATAAAACAAAATGGTTCTTGGCTTCCAAATTTAATATGAAAGATATAGGAGAAGCTAATGTTATTTTAAGTATTAAAATCATAAGATGAGATAATGGCTTAATGTTAACACAACAGCATTATGTTGAAAGGTTATTTAAAAAGTTTCGGTATTTTGATGCCACATTTGCGAGTATTCTTTATGATAATAATATCCAATTGAAAAAAAATAAAAGTGATAGTGCTGCACAATCTGAGTATGCTCAGATTATTAGGAGTATAATGCATTTGATAAATTATGCTCATTCTGATATAACTTATACTATGTTTAGATTGAACAGATATATACAAAGTTCCAATCAAGATCATTGGACTACTTTAAGCAGAGTAATAAAATACTTGAGAGGTACTATAAACTATGGTATATTATATAATGGATTTTTTGTTATATTAGAAAAGTACAATAATATTAATTAAATGTCAGATTCAAATGAGACGAAATCTACAAGTGGTTATGTATTCACCCTTTGTGAAGGAACTAAAACTTGAAAAGATTTGTAAGGTTAAGAGCCTTGTCTAATTTAGATTGAGTTTTGGAAAAGATTTGCAAGGCTTGAGCTTGACTCGGGAGAATATTATATTAATAAAATTATTTAATTTAATTTCAAAATGTATTTATAATATGAAAATATTAGTATAAAAAGATTTTTTTTATATTTTAATAATGAATTCAAATAAATGAACTAGGTAGTCAGTTTCGAATCTTGGACAAGATTTTAGAAGTGTTAATTGAGCTCGACTTGACCTAACACGACCCATAAACACTTTTAATTATTTAAATTTATTAAAAAAACACATCACTTTAAAAGTTATCTATTCCTCCCAATATTTATCTAATTAAAAAATAAAAAAATCGCCATCAAATAGTTATCCCAAAAAAAAAAACAAAAGGGAAAAGTAGATGATCTGAAGCCTTCAATTAACATGTGCTACATCATTTCTTTTTCCCATATTTATCTTTCTTAGATTATTTCATCGCTAAACATTAGTTTTTATTCAATTCGCTTTGTTTTTTTGGCACATGATTTCTAATCATATTCATATTTTATTCAGCATTTTGATTAAAGAAAGACCTGAATAGCTTTTCATTGATTTAATTGCACTCTTTTTTTAATATATACTCTTTTGAAAACTTATGAGTCATTGCACTGTCCTAGGCTATCGATGTACATAAATTTCCTTCTTGACACCAACTGCTTCCCTATCAACTCCTCCTAAGCTGTGAGGCTGACTCTACATGTGAAGTGATACGTACAATCTGATGTTGCTTACTTCAAGGAATAGCATTCTAATGGACAAGCAGCTTTCATAAATGTCTCATGCTGGTGAATATCAGCGATGAGTCACACAAACTTTAATTAATGTAATGTAAGGCCTACAAGTTCCAGCAGCACAATATAACCAATAATTCTCTTTGGGAGCTCGTCTACTACGGGCGAGACACATCATACTATTTGCAAGTAGTTTGGCATCATTTTCACTTACAAGCCTTTCTAAGAACGCCTACAAGAATACTGAACAGGGATTCATCAACTTCATCTTCAGTTGATTACTTAAGCATTTAAATTCCATACCAATATACAAGCATGCAAATTACTGGGGATCAGCAATGAAGGAAAAAAAGTAACGTAATAGATCTACACTCCCTGGGATTGCATTTCTGAAGGATCTACCAGACCTTCTAATACAACAAGTTGATCCAGCAGGGCAAACTTCTCATCTTCAAGCGCCTTTACCTCATCTACAACGTCTTTCAGCTCTTTACCCAGTGCAAAGCTTTCTTCCTCCAGTAGCAAATACTTCCGCCTCAGTGCCCGGTACTCATTTCCAGATGTAGAAGAGTCTGGTAATGAATCTGAATTTGATCTCTCAGGTTGCTGAAATATTGGAGAGATTTCTTTCTTCAAGTTCCTTTTGGACGTCTTTTGCCCTGTTCTTAGTGGTAGAGATCCCAGTACCTGCTGAGCCCCTTTAATATCAGTCCTCTCTAACGGAAAGGAGGGTGCTTTGTTACTTGAGCTTTTCTTTCTCCACAGCTTAGGATTCATTTCTTCCTCTGATGGTGGCATCCTGGGATCTTGCATTTCTCACTGCTGAAAACAGCAGAATTGTTAAAAATAAGAGCATATAGTTTTTATTTATAACTAAGGAGGAACATTTGCGGAAGAGAACTTAAAAGATGCTCATTGATACACAAATGGCTTTGGCATGGATAAATTGAAAACAAATCTAGGCTAGAATCATATATACATATAGAAAACATGGCTTTGGCATGCATAAGAGATGTATCAGATAGACACAGGACATAACATTCACATAGGCAACAACTGGTTAATGTAGTATCAAACGCTGTAATCTCCAAGTTTACTAGAGATAATATCAGTTTATGCTGCATTCTAAGATAATCCTGCTCATCTCTAAATTCCATTTCAATCTGACATAGGGCATAACATGCACATAGGCAACATTTGGTTAATGTAGTATCAAACCCTCTAATCTAAAAGCTTACTAGAGATCATATCAGTTTATCCTGCATTCTATGATAATTCTACTCATCTCTAAACTCCATTTCATCTTTAACCCAGAATGAAAAGCTACCCTATCATGCCGTAAATCCACATGCACAGAATACATGATGCAACTAAAGTTACATTACCCCATCCTCCTAAATGGGCCCACACTTTTGAAGCATAAGTAAGAATCAATAGTGTTGATGGATTCAAACTTATATTTTTGTTCCAAGGGGGCATGTCCACAGTTAGAACTAGAAACTTTCAATTCATAAGTCTCAGGTTCAAATATAGGGTAAACTAGTCGGAGTTGATAGAATCGCAGAAGGAAAAACGCAACCAACTTTCACATATACTACAAATTCTTAAGGAACTATTCCTTGATTCATCCCTATACCCAAATAACACGCAAAAAGCCCAGAAATGTATTACATAAAGAACCTTGCAACACACTAACCATCCCAAAAATACGCCTGCAAATCCCGATTCCAAAACTCCTCCATTGCATGGAATAAAACTTAACCATCCGTTTTTCATTACCCAGCATCTTTTAGAACAAAATAGCCCCCGCTTAATTTCTGATAAATAAAACAACACCACGTTCCTTAAGACCAACAATTTACGAACATTATGCCAAAATTGAGTTGCTAATACAAACAATTAATCTCCTAAGAAAGACCAAGAAAAGTTAATTATTCCCTGAATTCTGAGATACAACGGCATAAAACACTGGAGATAATTTGAAAAACTCAAGAATTTGAATACGGATTTCACCATAAACAAGCAATTAACCAAACATGAGAATTCATCAAACAGAGATAATTGACGAGAGAAGCTTCACCTGGGAATATTGCAGACCAAGTTTGGGTTGACAAGTCGGGACTTTTTCGAGCTAGGTTTTAATTAAATGGAGAGTAATTAGGTATGTTTAAGAATTGAGGATTACCTTTTAATGGGGAAAAAGAAAGGGGAAAGATCTGACTTGGGAAACCGCAAATCCTTGTCCATTCCTGAATCCGTATTCTGCAGCTGTTCTATCTTCCAGAATGGAGGCTATTTTACACAATTGCCCCCTGCCTTTGGCTGTTTGAGACTTGGGAAAAGGAGTTGGTTAGTCTCACTTTTGGATTAAAAAAACGAAAAGGAGCCTTTATTTAAATATTAATTAATTTTTATAAAATATATTTTAATGAGATTTTTACAACCCATGTTAAGGGTTTAAAAAAAGAATAAAGGGAGAGAAAATAAATTTAAACACTGGAATAAAAATAAAAGTGAAATTGAAACTTCAAAAGATTTCTTTTTTCCATCGGAATAAAAATATAATAATTGTTTACTTCATAGCATAGGGTAAAACTCAGACTGGTATTAGTTTAATTTCAAAATTCACAATGCCATAAATTGGGCAGCAAAGGCAAACCAATATATGAAAACATTCTACTAATGCGAGGCCTCTTTCATTTAAATACAAATACCCTATGAGGCCCATTCCAGGCTGGCCCCTGTTACTGCTTCGGTGCTTTCCAATGAAAGAGGACTTGAACAACATCATTCTTAGTTGGGGTACCACCAATCCGGTCAAGGAGGCTGCTGCTTCCATTGCCTTGGCTGCAGTCTCTGTAAATTCCTTCCACTTGCCAAGCAAGTCTATTTTCCACCCTATCAAACCATTTGAAATGCTTAGGGTTTTATCCTACTACTCTAAAATTACTGGTTAGGGTCTTATTTTAGACATGTTCCGGTCAACAGTTATTGTAATAACCTCAACAAGGTGCTCTTGCTTTTAAAATACTGATAGGCAAAAAAAAAAAAAAAACCACATGCTTTAATATGCAGGAACTTATATAAAGCTATAATATAACAATTAGCAACTGTTGTATTGTTTTAATTTGATCTCCTTCACATATGTATGTGTGTGTGTGCATGTATTTATATTTGTTATTGAAGTCACAAGTAAATAATCTTAAAAATTTACAAATTCATATCAAAATTGTTGATTTTATGATTAAAAACCAAAACATTGACGATGTATGAATTATATATTAACATTACATCAAATAAAGCATAATATATATTTTTTAATTTTCATAACATATAAGGGAATGTACTTGGTATTCAGAATTAAAATATGAATGACTTTAGTATTGTGAATAACAATACATCCAAAAACATCTGCTTGTGTCTAAAAAAACTCATCCCATTTCTTTTTATTTTTAAAACTTTAAAAAATAAAAATTTGAATAGCTAATTGTGAATTTTGTTTTCTTAAAGTACCAAATTGAAAATTACAATATAATTCGAATACTAATTATGTAATTAATCCGAAAACCCATACCTGTGTATTGTTCACCACAAATCTGACTTAACTTTGTCAAAACATTTCATTCGCCAGTAGAAGGTTTGACTATAATGCAATTAATACATAAATGTTTTGGACTGTAATAAAGAAATGTTGATCATCAGGTGTGTACACACAGCTCTGCTTTCCTCAGCCACCGTCGAACGCACTTTAAGAAATTCATTAATTATTTATAAATACTATTCTGCGAGGATTAAAGATATGGCCTATCATAAAAAAGAGGATTAGCATAATATTATTTAATCATTGCCATGATTGGATTAAAACCAAGAATGGCATGGAGCGATCATGCTGCCAATTTCCTGATGCCTAATGCTGCTCATAAATGTGTGACCAGTAAAATTTAGGAAAGACTTGATGTCAGAGGACATTTATCAATTTTTTAGCTAGGAATTTGCAAGACAAAAATTAATGAGAGAAAGCCACAACCTGACCACAATTTGACTCTAAGATAATCGAATCAGTATCGAAAGAAAGAGTTATAAGAACAAGGAGAGAGAGGTGAGACGGTAAAAAAATTGAGTAAAATGTAGAGCTCTTTATAAAAAATCACTTTTCCCGTACAATTAAAAGGTATAAAAATATTACTTTTTATCCAGCCAACAAAATTCCATTAAACTTTTTCATATATATTTATATATAAAATAAGTAAAATACTTCAACTCCTCTTAGTTTTAATTGAAATTTTAAATAAATTTATTACTTTTTAAAATATAAATAATATTAATAAAAATAAAAAAATTAAAATATTTTTTTAATAATTTAAAAATTATGATTATATTTTAAAAAGATAGAAAAAAAACACCAGCCAATGTACCCCATCGTGAGATTTTTTTAATTAATTAAAAAATAATAAAATTATATAATAATAATTTTAAAAGTTAAGAAAAATAAAATTATTTTTTTATTTTTATTATGTTAATAAATTGATGAATATATTAACAATTGATTAATGAATGAATTTACGTATTTAATAAAAAATATTTTTTTATAAAAAAGATAGTTATTTTAAAATTTAATAAATTTTTATATAATTTTTATTAAACTTAAAAAATAAAAATATTTTATTCATATAAAAAATATTCAATTTTTTCTAGTTGTATGATAGATAAGATAGATGTGATTATGACCACCATAAGATTTTGACTCGATGATCATGTCCCCTGTACCTTGACGGAAACTGGAAAATAGGTTTGGGTAAAAATTTGAATACGGTTAATTCTGGGCATCTTCCGTCAAATTGCCAGAAAAAAACAAAAAGGGTAAATTTGGAATAAAAATATGTCTGGCTGGCTGTCGTTCACAAGTTCTTAATCCTGATGTGACACCATTTATCCATATAAGTTTGAAAGCGAAGATTAATATTCATAATAATCCGAAACAAAATAACTTACCAAATCAATATTTTCTGAAATTTACCAAATTTAAAAAGGGCCTGAAAAATGAAAAAAATTTTCACAGACCCTTGTAGAGAAATGATTACAGCTCCCAGGGGGGAAGGAATTTAGAAAAATAGAAAGCCAAGAACGCGCCTGTCAGGAAAGATATTTAAAAAGGAAAACCAAGAAAGTTGCAGCTGGACGTAACATGAACAAAGGAGGGAAAGTAAAGTTGTTCTTAAAAAAGCAAAGCATTGAAATTATAAGGCATAAAGGGTCAAATTCTTAGCAACGCGTAGGTAGTAATTAAATCATTCCATTGACAATACTTTATTGGAAAGTTGCAAGCGATTAGAGCAAAAGCCTACTCAAATCATCTCTCTTTCCTGGATGGGTCATTTTATATTATATATATATATATATATATATAAAAGAAGAGAAAAAACGAAATAGTGAGACAGAGACTGGAAAAAACATTGTCAAAAAGATTTTGGTTGATGTTTGCAGCATCTCCCTTCTTCATTGTATTGGGTTTGGCTGTTCAGCCGCTATAGTTTGTGAAAATGAGGGGTCAGGTGGTATGGCTTATTGGGGTCATCATCTTCGATTTGATGGTGGCTATGGCAGATACCCAGACGCTGAAAATATCAGACTTCCAATTTGGGCCATTTGACAGTTCCTACTACAACACCTTCGCAGTTATACAGCCAGCTACAATCAGCAATGGTGCCCTTCAAGTTACCCCTGATTCCATTGGTAATTTCAGTCTCAGCAACAGGTCTGGTAGAATTTTCTTGAATAAAGCTTTCAAGCTCTGGGATGGAGATTCCAAGAATATTGCGACTTCTACTTTGGCTTCGTTTAATACGTCCTTTCTTATCAATGTTTTTCGAGTCAGTAACTCCGTTCCTGGAGAAGGTGTTACTTTCTTGATTGCCCCTGACCCCACCCTTCCTCCTGGTAGTTCTGGTCAATATCTAGGATTGACAAACAAATCCACCGATGGCCTCTCCTCCAACCAACTAGTAGCTATCGAACTCGATACTTTTAAACAAGATTTTGATCCAGATGACAACCATATTGGTCTAAACATCAACAGCGTTCGGTCTAATAAGACTGTGTCTTTGTCCGAATTTGACATCCAAATCGCTCCAAATGGTACCAAGTTTCACGTGGTGTGGATCCAATATGATGGTAAAAACAAGTCGATGCAGGTTTACATGGCAGATCAGGAGGAGCAGACTTCCCCGACACCTTCCAGGCCCTCCAAGCCAGTCCTGAGTGCTGATCTTGATCTCAGCAGTCTAGTCAAACAAAAATCGTATTTGGGGTTTTCAGCATCAACAGGGAGCAATGTTCAGCTTAACTGTGTGCTTAGATGGAACTTGACAATAGAGGTGCTTCCTGATGGGAACGAAGGAAAACATTGGCTCAAGATTGGATTGGCCATTGGAGTTCCATTAGTGGTACTTTTACTGCTTGGAATTGGAGGGTTGACTTGTTATTGGTACAAGAGACGGAGGGCCAGATCTGATCCTAACATATTGGGAGCACTCAAGAGTCTTCCAGGAACTCCCAGGGAATTCCGCTTTAGAGATCTGAAAAAGGCTACCAACAATTTTGATGATAAACATAAGTTGGGTCAGGGCGGATTTGGGGTGGTCTATAGAGGGCTGCTGCAGAAGGAGAGTCTGGAAATTGCTGTGAAGAAGTTTTCCAGGGACATTAAGGGCAAAGATGATTTCTTGGCTGAGCTAACTATCATCAACCGGTTGCGCCACAAGCATCTTGTCCGCTTGCTAGGTAACTATATTTCAACTCTTCTGTCATGCTATCATTAAGATTTAGACATTGACATTTATCTGCTAATTGCCAGATTCACTTTCTTTCTTAGACAAATTAGGCGATCCCATCAATCTTAGAAAAAAGAGTTTACTTACAGATTTGAAACACGTAGTACTTTATAGTAACTCATAATTAGTTTCTAGCCATTGCTTTTCTTCCACCACCCCCACTTTCATGAAATCTTTCCCAGTCTGTTTTACGAAAATACAAGGTATCTAATTTTGTAGTGTATGTCAGTACGTGTCATATTTAACAATGAGAGGAAAGAGAGATAGTTCTTTAAATAAAATGAAAAATCGACCATATCTATATTAAATTGTGAAGTTCATTTTTTATTTACAATAAGAAATTATAATTGAATTTCATATTCCAATTTTAAATGACCTATTTGAGTAAAATACTAAAATGTCTACAGCACTTGATAGTCGATAGCACATAAAGTATATTTTGGGGGGTTACTAAGCGAAATAAGAATTTAGGATGATCAGGTTTGGTTTAGGCAGTAACTCAAAAGACAGCTCTTC